TCTGGAACCTAAGTTGTGGTCTGACAAGGCCCATGGCTTATCCCCCACCCTTGGCTTCCTTTGGTCTTAAAAGTCACGTTTATGTCTCTCCCCAGTCAAGCAACAAGGCTCACAGTCAGGGTCAGTGTGTTGCCAGTGTGGGTAACAGTGATGGTGTGAGCTTCATTCAGCTGCTTCGTTGAAAGAACCCCAAATTCAAGATCTCTGTTGTCCCTGGAGGTTTTTGTTCCTGAGATTCTAACCATCCACCAGGAGTCGGCCTTCAAGATTTCAGCAGGCTGTGACTGGGTCTTGGGTCTTTTAAGGGATCACAGTTAAGGCTGAAGAATAATAAAAGCCTCCCTCTAGTGGCTCAAGCTCAAATACTTTCTTGTCCTGTAAAGGACCCGGAGTGAGTATGCAGGAGACATTTCGGAGCCATTTCAAAACAGGGTTGAAATTCCAGGGCTCTCCTGGTGGATCCCACACTGGGAGCCCTGCACACAGTGCACCTCCCAGCTGTGGCTGTGCTAAGAGCTTCAGCCACTGCCGGTGCAAGATAGCCCCTGAGAGCATGTGACCACCTCCTGGCTCCGCCCTCCTAGGCCCGGCCTGCCTCCAGCCCTGGTGAGGGTGTTTCTCTCATAGAGTTGCTATTTGATGGGGAAGGAACTGCCTGGATTTCCTTAAATCCTGAGCTTTGAGTTCTCCTCCCTCTCCCACCTACTTGGCATCTTAGGCTTCTTATAGAAGGGAGTGGGGGAATCTTTACCGGTCGATGACATTTGTCCCAGTGTCACCTTTTGGCTACTCAAATGAGTTGAGGCTATTAGTCAGAACTTAACATTTGTAGACTCCCACCCCAGGCTGGGGGTCACCAACTTTCTCCTGGTGAAGTTTTTGTGAAATTCAAGATGTAGAATTCAATCTCTGGTGGATATACTTAATGTTATTACCCATGAAAGGTGTGGCCATTGGGGCTATGAGGAAGATCCCCAACCAATAGGGAAAAGGGAGACTCTCATACCAGAGAGCAACAGCCACTGTCTTCCTTTTCTTCAGACAATACCACTGCAGATTAAAAGGTATCCCCAGTTCCTTGGTACCTAATTGCCTGAGGAGCCACAACCTTTTGGCAAAGTGTGGCTTATCCACAAAGTTGTGCCACTCCACTTTGTATATGTGAGCCATTACCTTCTCTGAACTGTCATCACTCTGGCTTGATCCTCCTTATTATATAGAAGAGATGCTTTTAATAAGAGTGTTTATTCATTTCAGTATATGGTCAGCCCGCTGTCTCTGTGGGTTCTGCATTGGTGGATTTAACCAACTCCCAATGGAAAAGTCTGCATTGAACATGTACAGACTTTTTTCTTATCAGAGTTCCCTAAATGATATAGCATATCAACTATATACAGCATTTACATTGTTTTATTATAAGCAATCTAGAGGGAAAGCATCCAAAGGGAAAATGTGGATATGTTGTAGGCAGATGCTATTACATTGTATATAAGGAACTTGAGCACCTATGGATTTTGGTGTTTGTGGTGAGTTCTAAAACCAATCTGCTGTGTATACCAAGAGATGACTGTATAATGTACTCAGATGGAAGCCCCTTGGACTTGTGACATAAAGATTTCTTTGCCTTGCATGGCGGTGCACACCTGTAATTCCAGCAGCTCAGGAGGCTAAGGCAGAAGGATTGTGTGTTCCAAGTCAGTCTCAGCAACTTAGCAAGACCCTGTCTCAAAATAAAATAAAAAGGGCTGGGGATATGGCTCAGTGTTGAAGCGCCCCTGGGTTCAAGTCCTGGCACCAAATAAATAAACAAACCAACCTTAGAATACAAGAACAAATTAAGGTGAGGTTAACAAAACTTATGGTGCCCAATAGCCTAAATAGTATTTCTTCTTACCTTACCCATTTCATCTTACAGTCATGTGAAAGGGCACTCACATGTGTAGCTGAAATGCAAATGAGACCAACCACTTAGATTCTTGTAGCCCTAATTGTCTCAGAGGCCAGGCTCCTTCCCTGCTCTGACATCTCTCTGAAGTACTGGTTGGCATCAGGAGTATGTGCTGTCTGTTCTGGAAAAGCATCAAGTAGCAGGGTTTTCTTGACTCAGTCAAGTGAATTATTCTAACTCCCCCTTAGCTGGTTCACATCGTACACCAAGGACCCTGGAGGGGAGGCATGTAGAAGTGGAGGGGAGTGGATCTTTTTCTTTTATCACCATGACAGAGCCATGACAGCAGAAAATCTAATACTGTACAACATTAAAACATTTAATGCACTTTGGGGAGGAGTCAATTTCCTGGATTAAGTACTTCCCATATAACATGTCAGTGAGGGAAAGGAAGTTCTCCTTCTTCCAAGTCCCCAGTGAATGCTGCAAGGGACCTCCTACTGGGAAGAGCCAAACCCCTTGACTTTACAGGAAGTCATGGTCACAAAGGCCTGGGTGAGATCATTCTGTCTTCCTTACCCATGTGCTGGCTTCCACAGGTGGGAGACTATTATTCTGTCCATCTATGCAGTGAAACTGTCAAAGGATAGCAGTAAGGAAAGGAGGAAGAAAAGGGATCTGATTTTGTGTTCTTTAAAGACATATTAAATAGATCAAATCCCAGCAGCTCAGGAGGCTGAGGCAGAAGCATCAAGCCTTAGCAACCTAGGGAGGCCCTAAGCAAGTCAGTGAGATCCTGTCTCAAAATAAAATACAAAAAAGTGCTGGGGATGTGGCTCAGTGGTTAAATGCTCCTGGGTTCAATCCCTAGTACAAAAAAATCAAAAAGAACCCCCCCCCCCCCAAAAAAAAAATCCCAACAGATCAGCAGGTCTCTGGCTGTAGCTCAGTGATGGAGGGCTTACCTAGTGTGCTCAAACCCTGGGTTTGATCACTACCACAGCCAACAAAACAAAACAGACACCAAAAACAGTCTGAGTGGCATATTTCAGACTGGACTTTTGCTGAGATGTGGTGCGCTGATGGTTAATGTGTTTGGTCACTACATGGATTTAAATCAACTGAGCCTGAAGGAGATCAGAAGTGAAATGAAACTCTGATAAACATTTAATCTTCTTGAAAAAAAAAATTGACAGGAATAATAAAGTTTCAGATGTTTTTTATTCAAAGGTTCTCAAAAGAAATAAAACAGAAAAAGCTAACAATCTGATCAAATGTACAGTTCAAAAATGTCTTTTGGCGTTTAACAACAAGTCCTAGGAAAGAAAACTACAGAGTTATCTTGAACCGGACAAATAAGTTACCACTGGCAAGTTTGTGGCACTAGTAAAACAAAAATAAAAAATTAACTCTCTTGATCATATAGATATCTCTATGAAAATCTTTTTTTTCAATCTGTACAAAAGGTCTTTCTTCATAAATTAATTTTTTTATAATTTAATGGCTGTCTACTATGTGATGTTTAACTGATTTTTTTTTTATTTTTATTTTTTTTATGTACAGAGGTTATGTTTCCCAAATCTTACCCAGACGAGTATGGCACTTAGTTCAGACATTTCTAGCAGCAGATTTCCCCTCCCCTCTAACTGAGCTATCAAATTTCTGTCTTAACTAATGCAAAAATATCAAGTAGTGAGAGACCCAGGTTTATAAATGTACTAGGTACACGGAGGGTGCTGCGTTCAGTCTGGACTTTCACAAAGCAGTAATATTCCAGGGAGCGTAGAACCAATAATACCACAACTTTAAAAAAAAGGAAACAAAAACAAAACAAAACACATTTCTCTTATGACTATGTAATTTTCACTAGAATCTACACTTCTCAGAGCAGCAAGGACTTTTGAAACTATGAAATGTCACTGACATCTATAATCAAATACAAGCAATAAAATTTAAGAACTAAAAAATACTCAAAAGAAATAACTGCTTAGGCCTAGCTCCTGAGCTAGGAGGATTTGGTCTGTGGAAACAGGGAGGGCCAGCAACCTGTCCCAGCACAAAAGAAAATAGACTCTGAGGTAGATAACTGATCATACACAGCTGACCAGACAAGTACACAGTTTTGGAAGACAACTTAATTTACCATTGCTTTGAAAACATATGCAATTGCCTTAATAAAAGAGCTTTAATAACAGTGAATCATCTCATATGTACTAAAGTAGAAATAACTGTGTATTTATGAATCAGGAATTTCATAGTTTCAAAATTGGTTTTCTTTACACTTGAACACTTGTAGTGATGATGTAAAGTGTGGCACTGCTTGGATCCAAATCTTCCTTCATGCTTTTTTTTTTTGTTTGTTTGTGTGTGTCCATACATCAATTAAAATTATAAAACCTAAATTCAAAGGTACAAAAAAGGCACATTCTCCTAACCGCAAACTGGTCCGGCAAAAATAAAGAGCACAGAAGATGTGATGCTGAGACAAGTTGGAGCTACTGGTTACTGGCTCTTCGGTCTTTGGTGAAGTTACCTTTAAAAGTGCCAAGTCATTTTTATTTTTCAAATTTACCTAATAGAGAGAGAGAGAGAGAGAGAGCTAGTAGCCAATCGTTTCGCTTCTATTCATATCTCAGCTTATGTTTGAAGAGAAATCCTTACTTTTAGCTTTTGCCATTTAGTTGCAATAGCAACATATTTTTTTTTTTGTTTTTGTTTTTTTTTTTTTTCGGTTTGCCAGATCGCAGGCATAATTCTCATTCTAAAGCACTATCATTAGTATAAAGGAAGGACAAAACATTCGGTGACTCCCCTCCCCCTCCCCCCTCCCCCAGCCCCAACGCTACCTAACACTAAATCTAGAACATCAAGTTAGTTTTTTTTTTTCTTCCTGAAAAAAGGCAAAAAAGACTTTACATTGCATCATACAGCAGATATCCTAAATCAGTCAAACTATCAGAGGAAACTGTCGGCATACAGCCTTACAAACGCTTTAACCCTATTAAAAGTTCCCCAGTCAGAAAATGTGTTTCACACAAAACAGTTTTTCCCTTCTTGCATTTTCACTACCTTACACATTATGTGAAAAATCATTAAAAACACCTACTACATATTTAAAAAAGCCAAAATTTCAGCAACTTTTATTGACTACCTTTTAAAAGCCCTATGCTGCTGTTTTACAAGGCATAATAGACCAGCTCATTTGGTCAAAGCATTCTACATCATTAGTTTGAACTAACTTTTACTGAAACAGCTACAGCATCAAAAGAGTTAAGGCAAATTGGAATTCATAGAAAAGGATAAGACACTTCACACTACGTTGAAAGAAAAACGGAAAGCTAAGGAAAGAGACGTGACGGCAACACTGAGTTACAGCAACACTCGCACGGCAAGCATGGAACACCATGGGTGAAGTCGGACTAGTTAAACTTCAGAAAGCCCATTTCATACAGCTGAAAAAAACACAAATTAAACACAAAATGAACAAAACCACAAAAATCCGGTCATGCACTTGGATAAGTCTTCATGGTCTTTGTGCATACCCAGAAAATTGAAGTTTTCTTTTTCTTTTTTTTTTCTTTTTTTCTTTTTTGCATCATAACATTTGATAAAAATCTTTTTTTTGTTGTTTTTTTTTTTTGGTTTTGTTTTTTACTAAAATAAACCTGTTCAGGGGAACAGCTACTAGATGAATTTAAGGGTTTTATGCACCTTATAGAACTTATAGCAAAAATAGTTTTAGTTGATTTCATTATAAATAACGTTTTCAAGAACCTGTGCAAAACTGTCAATAATTTCCTAAAGCACAATTGATCAGAAAAATCCATGATTGTTCAGCCTTCACACCCTTCTTCATGTAAGAACACCCTTCTGTACATCTGCAAGAGAAAGATAAAAGACAAGTACTTTTGTGGTCTCGATATAATACACCAATAGAGCTTATAATCTTATTTAAAGAGAGATGTATTTGAAAAAGGCTGTGCTCATCACTGATGTTTCACGGAGAGATGCAAACTCTGGACCTGATGGTCACTTTCAATGTTTTGAATCTGCCTTTCAAATCTGGGACTTGCAAAGTACTTTCCTCTCTAAGGGAATCAGAGCCAAACTCATGTGGGTCTCCAAAGATCAAGGGTGACTTTATAAAAACCAACAATACATATTGTCACTAGGGCAATCCAGAAACCAGGTTCCATATAGCTATTTTACTATAATATACATGGTAAAGTTAAAAAAAAAAATGGTACTTGTGGGAATACAATCTTTTAATCTAAGGATACTGACACTAGCAATATCTTGGCTATGAGTTTTGACTAATCTTGTAATGCTTGATAAAGCAACATCTTATGCTAAATTGCCTTTAGTTTTGAGTACTTGAGCAATACAGTATAGGATACTTAATATAATAAGTTTGATACTTGATGTTCTATGATGTTACAGATCTTACTTTTTTTGAGGGGTCGAGGAGAGTGGGTATATGTTTGATTTCAATATAAAGCGTTGTTCTTTTTGCATAGAACAGTGAATCTGCAAACTCACAAAATCATTGATTTTAACATTTCAACAAGATTGGATGCCCTGGCTATAATGAAATCAAGTATGATTGATCTGAGTTATTCTAAGCATCATTTTGATATGGGAACCACAGACTGCCTGATTGGCACCCTGGTAATGGAGACCTTTCTCTCATACCTCACAGTTACTTATTGGGTTGAAAGGTATATGGAGAATGGTCATTAGACGTCTCTACAGCCACCTGCTGCTGACCACTCGCCTCCTACAACAAAGCAGAGCAGATGAAATGTGTTAGTGATAAAATCCTAACTCTGCTACTTACTTGGGTCTAAGTCAAAGGCATACACCTGAAAATAAGCAGTTTTTAAAGTGAATTTCTTAATATTATGCAGAGCTTTTTAGGTTAATCATTCCCTCAAGTAGCTGAAATGTCTGATAGACACCAAGCACCTCCCATCCAAATCTTTGACTTGTCTATTCTGATCAAGCTACATTTATCAAACAAATTTCTTAATCTGTTTTTCCCTGGGGTCAGATGTGATTTAGAATTCAGCATTTTCAAGGTTCAGAATCTGAGACATGGTATGAATATGCTGTATATCATATAATACCCTCAAGTAGGGCTTAGGGATGTCCCTCAGAATCAAACATATCAGTAATTCTATATAGTGCATAAACACAGTAACTGGGACAAATGTATCACCTTGTCTCAGTTCAAGTTGGGTTTTTTGAAAGGTCAGAATTTTTGCTAAGAAGTTAGTCACAAAGAGAATTTTTATTTTCAAAGTTTTTGGAGGGTTTCAAAATTGCTGATAAGGTATTGTGGGCTCTGATAACTGTGGTTCCCATAATTGCACAATGAAAGGCAAATAATAAGAAGACATGGTTCTTTGGCCCTTCTTGGAAATGGGAGCCTTTGGGTTCTGCCCAGTGCCTACTGGGAAAGAGCAAGTGAGCTGAGTATTTTCCTTGGAATTTTAAGGATGCTCTACAGGAAAATGCTGTTTCCTGTTCAATCATAATCAGATGCCAGACTTCTTCCATACCAGCTCTAGTGTTATTTAGCTACACTAACAGCCTCTATAAAAATAGGTATAGCTTCTCTCCCACGTCTGCTACATCAGCTTTCCTTTTTCATTAACTATCTGAATCGTGACTGATTTCTTTTTGTGAGTATCACCATTGATACAATTTTTAGGACTAGGATTACAAACTCCAATTTTATCTCAATTTAGGGGTGACAAGACAGAACTCTGGAGGGGTGAAAAAGGTGCTACAAGCTTGGAAAATATTTCTAGGAGTTCTTGGGGATGTGGCCTGGATGTTGTTATTCTAATTTGTAACAATTATATTTTATAGTCCCAAATAACATATTCCCTCTAAAGTCAATCCTTTATGCAAATATTTGACTTTTGATAGATTTTGCTTTCAGTTCTACTTAATTCACCCGTTTTTGAAACTACCCATTGCCAGAACGGCCATTTAATACACTGTACCAACCTCGACAGGAACCGCCGTCGTCTGCATGTGTGTATACTGTGGCAAGTAGGCTCCTTGCATAGCTGACGTTGCAGGCATGTACTGAAAAGGAGGAGGAGGTCAGGATAGACAATGGAAAACCACGCAAAATGGGGAGTACTCAGGGAATTTTGAGCTGGATATAAAATATACGGAGTTCTCCAAGAAGAAATTTAAATATGCTACCCTCAAAGGTTTATTAGTCCATGTAAATATGTCATATGGAAGGCAAAGTCATTATTTTCTACATTTTGAATTTGTCAAACTATAAATTCCATGTTGTCTTTGGATTTCCTAACAAAGAAACACACAGGTGAAGATCATTAAAGTCTGTCATCTTCAATAATTCAATATCACTAATGCATCATTCTAGAAGATCTTTTCTCAGAAGACCTTGTTATCATCTAGCAGCTCCCTGAGTTGTTACCTAGTACTGTTTCTACAGGTAGAAACCTAAACATGGATGACTTATTGGACCTTTCACTGAAGATTAGGCCAGGGAATCCTGATTTCCTGATACTGAAGTCACTAACTCTTAAAGGCAGGAGGAATTTCTGGTCCATCTCAGGCTGTGTATGGCTCTGGCTTGGTCTGCACAAGAAGTTGCTGCTGGTTTTGAGTGTAAGAGGGGAAAATGTACCACCCTTTGTTCTTTTGAGCCACTACAGATACAGGCTGCATCAAACTCCTGTGGGCATCTCTTACAATTTAAACTATAAACAAACCAACATGGATCTAGTACCAGGTCAACCTCATTACTCCACCAAGTCCCCTGGACTCTAGTGTCACCTTCATCCTCTGCTGCATGAAATGGTACTTCATGATATACCAGTGACATTAGTTGAAGAAGCTAGATGTGGCCATGTGTGGGTGCTAAATTTTGGCAAAGGGGAAACCTAGAGAACAGACTTTCAGTTTTTCACTTAATCAAGAAATATCTGAGTTTTTTCTTTTTGGAAGGCAATGTGGGGTAGGGCTGGGGCCAGGCATAAAAACTGTCATCATAGAACCTGTGGTTCTATAGGGTAGGCACAGGGGTGCATTAATTTACCCTCCTCTATTTGCAGAGACACATGATATTAATTTGCCACCTACTGTTCCGGTGCTGCCTAGTGAAAGATGACTCATCTGCTGGGCCAGAGGGCTGATCATAGATGCAGGCTGTAGTGACATGGTATGCTCCATTGAGGGAGTTAACACGGCACCCTGTGGATGGGAGACAGAAGCAACAAAGGATAAACTGAGAGGAGTTAAGATTCTATAATTACCTTTTGCAAAGGAAATCCCTTTGTGAGTAATGTGAAGCAAAAATAACATCTTTCAGACTGGCAAGGGGTATCAATAATAAATAAGGTTCAAAAGTCTTAATAGATTGCTTTTCCTAAGACTTTGTAAGAGTGTTAGGGGAAATGGTATTTTGATATTCACTTCACAAAAATTCCTGCATTAAACACTACCCTCACTTAACTGGGAAGCTAGTCCAGCAGGAGGAGCTATAATAGCAAACACAAATTACAGACTCTCCTTGGCTGGCAAAGGTATAAAATGCTTAAAAAAGACAGGTGATGTTTTCTGTAGCTGCAAAAGAATAGGACCAATAATAGTGATCTGTTTAAAAATGTTCTATATAGAGAGCTCTTTGTTTCAAGATTAAGTTGTTGGTATCAAGAGCATTCTTCACTCACTCAGTGGTTCTCAGAACTTTGTGATTCTGTTCTTCCATTTCATTTAAAAAATATTGGTCATTAAAACCAAATTTTTAAAAACTTTTGGGGTACTGGAGATTGGACCGAGGGATGCTTTACCACTGAGCTAAATCCCTGGCCCTTTTTATTTAAGACAGGATCTCACTAAGTTGTTGAGGCTGGTCTGCAACTTGCAATCCTCCAGCCTCAGCCTTCTGAGCTGCTGGAATTACAGGTGTGTGCCACTGCTCTGGACTAAATTAAATATATTTAAGAAAACAGGGAAGAAAAAAAAAATCACCTGTAATCCAGCCTCTCCCATACAACCACAAGTGCCCCTTCCTGCCTCTGCATGTTTCTCCATAGTTGCAATCAAAGAACATGAAGAATTTCATATCTTGGGTTTTTGCTTTTAACTTAGCATTGCACTATAAAAATTAACAGATTGCACAGTTGTCACTGTCATCATTTTTAATGCTTGGATCATGGTTCACTGACCATTTACACCAAAATTTAATTAGCTATTTTTAGACTTTAATTGTCTATTTTTTTTCTATAAACTGTGGATTTTATCATTCCTTTTACTTTTGCAGTTGGCCAATTACCTGACGGTGCAAGTATTCTAACATACTCCACAAGTACTAATGTACATTCTGGCTTCATTGTAACTGATATCCTTTTTAAATAAGTTATTTGTTTAACTGATAATCTAATTATTGATAATTAGATGCACAGTTGGGGGCAGAGGTATGTGTGCAGGCAGGTAGTTTGGATCTGGATGGCAAAAGGTAATGAATTCTCAGCAACGTTCTATATACACTCCTCATGTCTCCTAAAAGATTTTAAACTAAAATATGTGCAATCTTTGTCTCTAAAAGTTGCCAAAGGGGAAAAAAAGATACATTCTACTTCTAATGTGCATTATCAAAAGCACAGAGTAAGATGATCATGACTCAGAAGTCCAGAAAATGGGGAAGGAGTTTCCTGATCTTTTTGCTCATGTACAAAGTAACACACATCACAAATCCACACATGCCCATGAATATGTGCACGTGTGTCCCAGTATGAAATGTGTATATACCATATAATACATGTACACATCTACATAAGCAAAGATATCTTTTCCTGTGTTATAATATAAACCTGTTTTATTAGCTTCCTAAAGGTCATCTTAAGCATTTCTTGTTCAAAACTAATTATGCCAGGATTGCTATTTCATACACACAGTCACATAGTGCAGTGCCCACTTTAGGAGAGGTATCGTGGGACGAATTTCCATCTCGTCTTAAGACCAAGAGCCAAGTTCTCTTCCTAAGCAACAGATCTATGTTTATCTTACAAACACTGTAAACTGTTTATCAGGATCCCCATTCTGCACTTGTCACCAGAAAGCTGAGGTCTAAATCTATGGTTTTCTTAACAGCAAGAATGCAGGTCAGTGTAGGCATGCTTAGCTTTGTGATTTCATTCTGAAGAGTAGCTCATTTAGAAAAAGTAGTACTAGATACACATTAGATCAACAAGTGCTCAAGTCACCAAAGAAATCACATTTGTTATTTATCAAAGAGTGCATTATACTACACTGTTTCTGATTTCCAAAGAGGCTAATAACACAGATGAAAATCTCTATCTTTACTTTAGGGTTGCATTAAACAGAGTAAAAACATGAGTGCGGTTTCATCAAGTATTGTAAAACATTGTCACTCAGATCTCCCCCCGAACTGATGTGAGCAAGAAATAGTGTCCTGCCTCCAACAGAGTATGTTTTAAATTCTTATGAACAAATTTATTTAATGCTTACTACTGATTCATTTTAACTTGTGCACTTTCATATTCCATGCTTAAAATTTCCCAAGTCCCTATCACCTTTGGCAAGGGGTTTTAACCTGAAGAGTACACACATGGCTTAATTGCAGGCAGAACATTAGGCCACTGAGGTGAACAACTTACGGGGTGCTGCAGGATATATGGTTGAGGTTGCATCCAAGAAGGACTTTGCACCTAGAAAAGGGAGAATTTTAAAGAAACAATGATTTACATTGTAATAATTTCCTAGTTCTCTTTTAATTGTGTTAAAAATCTACAGAAGGAAAATAAGGAAACAATACTATCAATGAGTAAAAAGATTAAGGCAGTTAGAGTTCTTGGCAAACTGGTCACTCTGAATGGGATGAAATAATTATTTAGAACCAATTTCTATTGGCCCACTCAAGAAGTATTTGCTGAGTATCAGGCAACAAAGAGAAAAAGGTGAATAAGACATGGGACCCACCCTCAATAAATTTACTGTCTAAAGCAGAGAAGATAAGTATGTAAAATATCTCAAATTAGTGAAAAGTGTTACAATCAAGTATGAACTAGGTGCTTTAGGATATGGATGAAAGAGGATTAATTCTAGAGCATCTGATTAGAAAGAAACTAACCCTCAAAGTATGGGCTGACTTAATAAAGATAACCAAATTCAATCTCTCTTTGATACTCAGGACATTAGGTTTCAAAAATCTTACATAGTCGTTAATAATTTCTACTTAGTGAGGAAAATAAATATCTGAAATTCAGATTGAGGAAATTAAACTTTAGTAACTATATCTGACATCTACAGTTAAAAGGGCATCCACACAGAAAGAAGACCCTCTGAACTGAGAAATAAGATGTGAGGGTCAGGCTTGTGGCAGGAATTCTGGCTTGTGTAGTCTGCCACTCGGGAGAGGGATAACATCAGTCCCTTTTTGATGCCCAGGGCTTTCCAGAGTTTATGTAGTTTAACACTGTTTCAGTTTCCAATTCTTAACACAACCCTCTTGTATCCTGTCCCCTAGTGTTAACTTCAGAGATTCTACAGAGAGAATATGGGGAAGAGTCATGGGGGAAGAATGCATTGTGATTTACCTTGATAGCAGAGCCCCGATACTTGTTTTCTCTGGTTTCCTTTGCCACCTAAGGCAGACCAAAGTTAAGTGCTTCTGCCTTGTTAACATTTCAGTTATCTGGACTGCAGCCTTTCCCCGTTGGGGTACTGGTGGTTTCTTGCAGATGCTAATTTCTCAAATCCAACTACATAAGCATATGGTGGTTTAGTAGAGAAAGGCCCACTCCAACACGAGTGGTGGGCCCTCCCTGGATAAATCACAGGGAGGCAAGCAGTTCCCTGTACACCCCAATGTGGGCCAAATGCACTCAGTTTTGATATGCTTCAGTCTTCATAATCTAGTCACGTACAGCATTATGAGGTTAAGGGCTGTGACTCCTAATCCAATTTTCTCTCTTAAACAGCAAGCCAGCTATGGTCGATTTCTATTCCTCAATGTTCCCTAATTAGAAAATGGGAATAATAACCTATGCTTTATAAACTCTTTGCCACTGGTTCTTAACCATCTTGGGGTCACAGATCCCCTTGAAAACCTAATAATAAAGAAAGAGACTGCCCCCACCCCCCACTAATTGCACACACACAAGCGACATTCTGCAGCACAGGTCACTTAAAGCTCATTCACTGGCCCTACCTGATCCCTGAACGTATTGGGTTAAGAATCCGTCTGAGATGTTATGGCACTGAGTGTCAGGAAAAGGGAATGGAATTCCACAGGTATCTTAGTATACAGAATGCCCAGGAGAGGAAATCAGGCCTTTGAAATGATAACGTTGTTTCCAGTTAGCTATATCAAATTTATTACCAAACTGGCCTTCTAATTTTTTATTCTATGAAATGATTCTGAAATGCACATTGATTTCATATTAAGAAGGGAAAAGGTAGTGGAAAAATACCATAATAGCTGATATATCTATAGCAGCATAAGTTGAAATTAATATGTGCAATCTTTCATTTGCCTAAGAATAAGCATAAGCTTATGCCCCTATTTTTAATGATATATGAATGACAGATTTCTAAGTTCAGATAGTTCAATATTATCTCTTAATATCAGACATAGGAATTATTAGGGAAAATGCAAGGAAAATATAGAAATCTTAAGCACTACACAATTAAAGAGGCATTAAGTAAGTGACTACCATACCCAGCAGGTTGAAGAACCATGGTAAATATAAACAACTCTCAGAGAACAAAGAAAAGAAAATGACTATCAGGGGAAAAACATACAATAGTCTAAAGAGGTGGTGATTACTACTTTAAAATTTCAGTCTTAGAGCTGGGGATGTAGCTTAGTGGTAGAGCACTTGCCTCGCATGTGCAATCCCCAACAACACAAAAAGACAACAAAACCCCAACAATCCCTTCAGTTTTAGTGCATCTAGTCACTTTTCTGTTATTCAAAGCTACTTTTATGTTTTTTTAGACAGAACCAGCTTTGACATTGGCTTATGTTAACCAATTTATTATTTAAGAAGAATAACTAATATATTTTTTATTATAAGTCAGCTACTGATGATAATAGTAATTATAGCTAATATTTCGAGTGCTAATGATACATTCAGGTACTGTGTAGAGAGCTCTTTACATAGACTCAGTCCTTGTAACTTTTCCAAACTTATGAGACAAACTATTATTATCCCCATTTTAAAGATGAGGAATCTGAGATTTACAGAAGTCAAATAATACAGCTGTTAGATTAGATATTGTAGTCCCAGAAGTCAGGACTACAGCATCTAATTCAATTGTTGTTAAAACAAGAATACACCAAAGTTTAGTTTAGTCCCATAGAATACCAACAGTCAAGAGACGAGAACTCTCTCTCTCTGCAACTGAACTCCATTAGAAGCTCCTGTCTGGACTGGGCTGTCAACATCTGGAGGGGCTCTGATGCAGGAGAGAGGGCATGTGCACCCCTGGGGTCATGTAAAAGAGGAGCTATCCCTGAAGTATAATCAGATTGACCTTATGACAGGTGCTTAATAGATTTCCTCAGTTGGGAATTTAAGGTAAAGCCTCTGCAAAAAAAAAACACAAACAGGGAGCTGCCTCTATTTTTTCTTTTTCTTTCTTTTGGTGGGCAGACCCCAAATCTCATCTGCCCTGTTTACTGAATGTAACCTAACTGACACACCTTCATGTATAAGCATATTTACTTCTTCTTTTATTAGTTTCTGCTGACAAACAAATAAAAGCAAGGTATAAACCTATTCTGTATTTTACCTAATGGCATTTCTCTTAAATTTCAGTTTTTGGGACACCTGGCATCTAAAAGCTGGGCGGATAGTGGAGGAAGTATGTGGGTTTGTCTCAGTTCTAAATTGCTATGATTCCAAGGACAGATAATGGGCAACCATTTCCCTTGCTTTATATATTTTCCTATACATAAAAGCAAATTGGTCTGCCAAATCAAAAGCAGCTTATTCTAAATTGGGTACCCAAAAGCTGCATAAAATGAGTTAAATTTCATTATAAATATTCAGAATTTTAAGACACATTAAAAAATGCAGCAGAGATTCACAATCATGGGTTGTCACACTACTGACAAATCCTAAAGGTACAAACCTGGTAGGCAGATACAGGAGATGCAATATAGGGTGTAAGAGAAGTTTGAGTGATCATTCGGTTTGTAGCAATACTGTATGGTGAAGGATAAAATCTAGAACAAACACAAAAGCCTGTATTAAGTAATCCTTTAAGTGGAATAATTCATGGAAAAATGATATTTTCCACCTTTAATTTCCCTCAAGCCATTACGCATTTATCGTAACAACATACCCGTTCTGTATAGCAGCTGTGGTCGGGTCGTAAGTGAGTGTCATTCCAGCCTACAGGAAAGAGAAGGACACAAATGTTCAGCTGGAAAGGCATGATTTGATAATGCTATTTCTTAGACATTGCAACATAAAAGAGTAACAGTAGCATTTGATAAAACTGTTTTTTTTTTTGTTATAGCCAAGCATAATTATAAGCTCAGTAAGAGAATTAAGCTCTAGACCTGTGCTTGTCCCATATGGTAGCCATTAGCCACATGCAGCTATTTAAAATTAAATAGAAAAATTCAATCTCTCTAGCAAAACAGCTACATTTCAAGTGTACACATGGCCACAAGTGGCTAGTGATTATCACTGGACGGTCCAGATTCTAGAACATTTATTTTCTCCAGACATTCTGGGACCTGTATGCTATTTTTAAAAATTATGTTAATTCATTGAAAAGAAATATAGAGAAGTGGAGGCCCAATAATTTATTAAGAAACTGAAGGTTAAAAAAAAAACTATTCAAAAGAACAAGATTAAATATACATACAACCCCCCCAAAAAACCCTCAATGACAAATACATTTATTTTGATGTTATTTAGAATACTTTTTGAATATAATAAATGTAAACCCTTCTAAATGGTTATACCTAAACCATGGCATAAAAGACCTTCAAAACACTCATGCAGTTTCATAGCAATTTAGAGTCTCCTACTTAGGCAGCTAGCTGGGGAACACAGTTGTTTGCACCATCTATGTGGAGAACTGTCACTTGGTGAGCACCCCCCGCCCACACACACACAGGGGGAAGGGTTTCAGTCTGAGCATCACTTGAATGAAAACGTGCTGGCAGAAAGGTGTGACCCAGGCAGCTGAAGGGAGATGCCTGTGTGACCTTTCGGAGCTGCCCACGACTGCACACCCACACTGAAGTTAAGAAAGGACTTACAAGTCTCACCTCTCCTTCTCGGTGCCATGGTCTTCCATTAGGGATGTATTTGTTTGGGTTCTGTCTCTTCTTCTGTCCTCCATCCGCAAATTTGCACAATAAAGGTTCTGTAGGAGCTGAGTGATGGGGGGGCGGAAATATTACAAAACCACAATGGTGTGCATGCACAGGTGACAAGCGTAACGGGATTACTTTTTTAGTGGGAGCGGCGCGAGAGCTATGAGGGAACTAATAGAACACTGCAAGGCAGAAGCTTCTTCAGACCCTTAGAAAATTAGCCACTGGTGAAAGATCTTAGTACAGAATAATACACTGGTTATTATTTCCAAACCAGGGCATCATGAAAACATCTGAAGGGCCATTTTGTTGAAGAAGCAAAGGAATCTTCCCATTCACTTTGGTGCTTTTTTTTTTTTTTTAATGGGTACTTCTTTGCATTCTGGCTTCTCTACAATTCTGCCTTTAGACAGTCACCCAAATAATCTTCAAATGAAAATAGGATTGTGCCACCCTGCACTCCTCCAGCTGCAAATGCCTCTGGAGCTTCCTATTAACATTCCTTAGAGGGACCTCCACTCCTCCTGGTGGAAAACAAGTCCCCCTTTGTAGCACATACCCCCTATTTGTATTTGCAGCATTTCTAACAGTCTGTGTTCCTTGGTGCCTGCTTTTCCTTCCCGTGGGCTCCGTCATCACTGCATCCCCAGTGCCTAAGCAAAAGGCACTTGGTAGGTGCTTCTTACCTAGTAGCTGAATCAATGAATGGATACACACAGACCTCATTTGTTCCTGGGACATAGGGGTGAAGCCTGTCATCGCGAGAAAGCTTCCAACACCTGCCCGTCCCATTTAAAGACTTTTCTGTACCTGAACCATCCCACTTGGCGAGATTTTTTTTTTTTTTAAATCAAGTGTCCGCCTCACAAAAATGAGACAAAGGGAAACCCAAGCAACAAATGTAGAAAAGATGCAGAGATTCTTTGAAAGGAGACACATTCATTAGAACTAAGAGACATAATAACAAACCACAGGCAGCACAATAGGCCACCCCTGACTTCCTTTTTCAATTTGCTTTTCTGAGATGGAAGCAGCAGCGCATTCCTGGAAGTTGTGCATTTTTCTGCATGCGTCTAGTTAATGTAATAAAGGCACTCACACCTTCCTGTCTGGTTCCCACATTCCATCCTTTGTCTACTGTAGAACCATGATTACTACTTTCAAGTTCTGTTTCAAACTTAAATAACCATGAAGAGAAAAATATTACTTGTGGAAAATTTACTCCTTTCTCCTTTGCCGCTTATTATCCTAATTCATCTCTTATTTTATATCACTATTATCCACCCGCTAATGACAGGGTAGAGGCAATAGTGTCTCTCAACATTTCTCTGCCAAAACACAAAACACCGAACTGTATGTGATTCCGTCTCGGTGAGCTGTCTAGGCTGTTGGCTGGCATGCTTTTCCCTTCCTGGGTTGAACCACTCCTGAAGGATGGGTTGGAATGGGAGTCATTTCTGAATGGCAACTGTACTCTGGGTATGCTTCGGTTTGGATATGATTTCTTAAATAGATATGATTTCACATGATGGAAGCTTGGTCTCTAGTGTGGCAATGTTTAGGTGAAGCGCACAGGAAGGTCCTTAGGTCAAACCTAAGAAGGAGTGGAGGTAGTTCTTGCAGGATCCTGTGTTCTTACAAGAGCAAGCCCAAACCCTGAATTGCTCTCTGGCTTGGTCTTATAATAATGCTCACGTAGCGATACCACCTATCATGTGGCTCTCACAAGAGGCAAGCTGATACTGGCACTATACCTTTGAATCCCCAGAACTATAAGCTAAATAAACCTCTTTTCTTTATTAAGTCATCCAGCCTCACACATTTTGTTATAGTAATGAAAAATGGACTAATTCAGGTAGTAGTTATTCAGGGTAAAAATGTTAGGTGTCTGGTGAGAATTTTAGTGTTCCTTTGTTTACCTTCTTGTCTCCAATACCTCCACCCGAGCTTTCCTGAATATGGAAGTTCCATAGAAGGCAAATTGGGTATGATAGAAGATGGACTGCAGCCAAATCCCAGAATACAGATGAACCATACTACTTATCTTTTCAAAAAAAATTGTGTTTTTAGAAATTCTACCTTTACCAATTACAGACGGTGAACAGACACAACGAAGCAAGAAAGTTTTGTAATCACTGATATTAATTCTACTACAGGGTCATTAAGGGACAGGTAGAAACTAGGGCTTAGAATATAGCATCCAAGTAGGAGGGAATAAAGGACAAAATCTTCTGCAAATAAGGACTTTTTATACCTGGAATCCCTCAAAGTTACTCACCTTTGTGGGCAAATGCTACTTAAAATTCTAGCACTGAAACTCTCCTCAAGCTCCTGGGTCAATGTGAAAGTGTGTTAAGTGCAGGCCTGAAAGTGCAAGGTATGTGTGTGTGTGTGTGGCAGGGGGGTGGGGTGGGTGGTGGTAGTGGTGGTGGTGGCCTCACTTGACAATGATGGACAGAACAAGAACTCAGATGAAGAAAGGCAAGATCTCACTCTCTGCACATCTAGAAAGGGCCTCATAGTAGAATGTTTTCTCCAATGATATTTAAGGTTATAAGGTCTTGCTTCCACACTACTCCTATAGGGCAAAAGAGTATAATAAACTCTGTGGAGCTGGCACTTTGTGGGTCTTTGCCGTGACAGACACTTTTATCTAGAGGGTTTATAAAAACTAGCTCCTAGACTGAAATTTAACTAATTTTTAAAAAGCGCTTCCTGTGCTCAGTGATTGATACAAACTGTTTTCCTCGATTAGTATAATTCTTTCCAGGGAAAGAAAGTGACCAGGTTGCTCATTCTGGAAGCTTCCCTTGGGCTGTCTCAGCGGGCAGGTGTGAATGAAGGCAGTTTGGTAGCAAGACCCTGGTGCATGTTGAAGCTCACTTGTTAAATAAATGGCCAATGTCCCTATTTGGATGTAATGTGCTTCTAATAGGTTTTCATCTAGATTCTGTCCTGTCAGAGAAAAGCAGATCTCAGGTAAGAATGAAGTCTGCTAAAATATGTACTAAGGGCATGTTTGCAAATACATATGGCATTTAAAATGAAACACACACACACACACACAGAAACACATGGAACAAGATGTAGTTGAATCTTTCAAAAATGAATTATATTTACCACCCGATTTTTGTGCTGCCATTAAGATATGTTATTTTCCTCTAAAAGCAAAAAGGTAAGTAGTGGAAACTGTGTGTACTGGCAGGTATCTCTTAGGCCAAACAAATTTCTTGTTTTTAAAGAATGTAACCAGTGGAAATGACCCAGTTTTTACATGTTGCTGGCTCCTTGTTTCAGTGAACTAGGAGTGCCCGAGTCTTGCTTGTGAAGCAATATAAAATTCTAACAGCTTTTTTCTTTTATCAAAATTCTCTCTGGTCTCCTTATCAGTTGAAGTTTTAATGCCCTACTATGTGTCAGGGACACAAGAGCCAATGGTACAGTGGCAGATCTGAGTTCTCGCCTCCAGGGGGCATGCAGTTTAATGGGGAAGAGAATATTTCCGATCTTATGAAAACCCATTTATTCATTTACAGGACACAGTACTGTTTTTAGAGAGATTTGTTCTAAATAGAAATGTTATGTGGAAGCAAAGTACTGACGTGGGGACAGCGGCTGTCTGTCTTTCACAATTGCTGCTCCATTGACTTGGAGAGTGTGACGAGAAAGAATGCATGCCTGGAATTTAATGTTTCTCTGTGTGCTCCGGAAAAGCAAACTAGGTGAAGACTTATAGGTGTTGTAGGTGGCAAATGGGCTTAATTTATTTTATCTGACACCATGATGCTAAGCAAGGATAAGAGGATTTCAGTTAGATTTTTGCACAAAACACCCAGATCTGTGCCATGAAGCCATTTATTTTTCAGTGTGTGCAAGCTTGTTAAAAATTGAGAGATCTTGGTTAATCAGTCTCTCCTATGATTCCTTCAAAATGAGGGGATGTCTTAAGTTTGCTTCTGGGAGCCTAATGTACAGGCTACAGGCTGAAGGGAGACGGTGTGGGATGTTGGCATATTCTACAGAGGGATCCTCCAGCTAGTCTCTTTGGTTGTGTTTTAGAAGGCAGATACTGAGAACAGGAAGTGCCATAAATAATAGTAATAGGGCTATGAGCAAAGTTTGGGTATATTAACTTCGCAAAATTAGTGTGTGACAATCTCCCTCTCTCTCTCTCATTTTGGTGGTGGTGCAGGGGATTGAACCCAAGGCCTTGTGCATGTGAGGCAAGCACTCTACCAACTGAGCTATATACCCAGCACCTGTGATAATCTCTAACATGGTCATTTTTCTATATTAGCAACTCTTTATTGTTCAAAACAATAATTGCAAAGAGTTCTAACATGATTTGTGATTTGAGACACATTCCTGAAATTAAAGTGATATAAAAATTATATAAACTACCCCAAATTGATTATTTTGCTAAATATGCACAGTGTTCTAGGCTGAATTTCCCCTTAATAAGGGTAAACCTCAGATATCACATGAGGTCTCTCAGGTCAGGTTCTTTTTCTCATCAACCAACAGAGAAGTTATTTTCTTCCTCATCAGAACCAACAGGAACATGCATCCCCAAAGCCTGACAACCATGGTGTGACCGTGACCTTGCACACTTGTGAGAAGCCCAAGGCAACACCTCAGATACAAACACTGATCATAGGTAGTATCCGCTGAAAAGCCATCTAAGATCATGGCATTACTGGACTCTTCAATATGCCCTCAACCAAACTTGAGAGAGGGATGATATTTTACAAATGCCTGATTGCACATCTCTGCAGTTTCCTTAACCTGTCTTTTGAGCTCAGACTCTACAGTGACTTGGGCTCAGATGTTGAAATGGACCTTTCCTCAGCCTGTCCTAAGTGAGGTCTTTGTGTATTTCATCATCACACATGACAGTACTAACAGATGGAATGACCTCTCCTTCCAAAGTACCATTTTTTCTAGTTATGTAGTATTTTATGTCAATTAACATTCTGCAAAATGTAAACTGCCCTCGATAGAAGTTTCTCCATCAATTTTGGAAAACCAGATCACTCAGCAACCATCATTAGCTTTCTTTGTGATAATGTTATTTTAAAAACGCCTCACTAACTACCTGGTAAAAATTTCAACCTAAGGAACCAATAAATATTAATTTATTAAGATTAATTTTTTATATGAACAACACCATTTCCTGTTTTAGCCCCTCTGTCCTACCCAATGGGCACAGCTATACTTTCTCTCTGTGAACACTTCTCTCAGGGGGGCTTTGATGGAATTTGGTCTCTCCTCCTTTACTATGCCTTACACAGTGTTGCTGGCTACCATTCAGGTTGAGAAGAGTAACATTTTCAATTTTTTTCATATCAGCTTCATTTCTGTATGGTTCGATTTTGGTTCTTTCACCTCACTTCCCAACCCACCAAAGAAGGGTCACTAAAAGAACGATGTGACAATAGTAAAATCATGTTAAATAGTAAACAAAAACTCAATATCCTCTATTGCCCCCCATAAATATTTTAATATTCTATTTTTACTGCTTTTCCAAGTCTATGCAGTTACAATTATTTTTCACATTTGTGATGATAGATACTTTTCTTCTACCATTTCTATTGTTGATCTTTCCCTATCTTGTTATACAGTCATTTGACAATGGTTACATAGTATTCCATTTGAAAAGGAGTCATGCTTGTTTGTTTATTTAACTAGGAATTGAACTCAGGGGCACTTTGTCACTGAGCTACACTCTCAGTCCTTTAAAAAAAAAAAAAAAATCGTACTGCATGATGGTCAGGGCACTAGCTTCAGGGTTAGTCTCCCTGAGTTTGAAATTTATGAGCTAGCGACTCTGCAAATTATTTAATGTCTCTGGTTTCAAAATCTATGAAATGTGGATAATAGTACCTACTTCAAAGTATTGAAATTATTAACATAAAAAGTGCTTAGAATAAGTGAGGCAGGAGGATCACAAGTTCAGGGCCAGATTGGGAAAATTAGGAAGACCCTACCTCAAAATTAAAAATAAAAAGGGTTAGGGCTGTATTTTAGTGGTAGAAAGCCCCCAGGTTCAATTTCTAGTACCTCCCCTTCCCCCAAAATGCTTACAGTGTCTCAATGAGTTTTCAGCTATTCTTGTTATTGCTGCATCAATTGGAGGAGCTCAAGTTTTGAATGTTGGCTCCTCTCAACACTTTTGAATTATTAAGATCAACTGTCAGCTGAGGGACTTGTGGTTCAGAAGGTTCAGAAGTTTTTAGGAACTGGCCTGCCATCCACCGGATTTGATTCTGAGGCATCTAGCAGGCTGGCTAGGTTGCTTCTCTTCCAATGAAGAAATGTGCAAGTTACAGTTAAGGATGAAATTACCGGCGAACACCATTTATAAAACCCCCACATCTTCCACCAAGATCCTTGTGCTTTGATAAAATTCCTCCATTATTTATTGTTCCTCACTGTCAGAGTCTGATAAAGCTCAGAGATGGTCTTGGTGAGCTGGGTGTGGTTGATGGTAATAGCAGCTCCCTGAGGGCAGCCCATCACAAACCTGGCACTCATGTCCCCTGAGAGTGACACACTGCTAATCTCTCCTTGTGGTCCCTTATCACTATTTAAAACAAGCTTTCTCTCTATGGTACAGAATATGGTTGAGGCTTGGGTCTGCTAGACAGCCACTGCCCCACTGGCCACCCATGATTCTTTGGCACTTTTGCTCTCCTGGCAATGATTCCTTGTTAGAGCAGCCCTTGAAGGGCACCTCTCACCACGTGAGCATGAGACCCTGCTCTCTTATAACAGTGGGTGAGGATGGAGATGTGACAAGACCACAGTCCCAGAAGTATGATCCCATTGTCCTACAGGTACCAGGGGCATGGCACATATCTTCAAGTATAGCTGTCCCTCAGGATCTGCTAGGGACTGGTTCTAGTGTGTGCCACAGATAGGCTGAATACCATATGTTAGCATTAACGCAAATTTCTCAATAACACCCAAAATGCATTTAACTTGGTTTTTAACTTGGCAGCTGAGTGGCATTCTCTGCTTTGGCCTGGATCAGCCTCCTCTTCTTTCTCCTGTATGCATATCTTCTGCTCTACTTTAAATCATTACTTGATGATGTATAACACTCCAGTCAATATAAATACCACGTAAATAGCTGGTGCCCTGTATTGTTCAGGGAACAATGATGGGGGAAAAAGTCTATATGTGTTCAGTACAGAAGCAATTTTTTTTTCCCTGAATATTTTCAATCCATAGTTGGCTAAACTGGTGTGTTCGGAACCATAGAGAGGGCTGACTATATTTTGTCTTGAGAGCTGCCAGAATTTTCTGTTTGTACAGAGTAGCAATGCTTAAGATGAATATTAAGGGAACAGATGGACAACAGAAACCTCTGAAACATCTCTAGGCCTTTTCCTAAAATTGTAATTCTTCCTTCATACATTACCTGTCTGTCTCCTGGCAGGGGAACATGCCCTGATAAGATCACTATAGAGAGAGCCATGAACTGTGGGCAAGTGTGTCTGTCAAGCTCAGGTGGGTACATACCCAATCTGAAAAGTCAAAGGAACACAGAGAACAGACGCAGAACAGGCTCAAGACTGGACGCGGCCTGCCAGCCGTCGCATCCGCACTTCACTGGAGCGCCATCAAGACGCAGGCCAGATCTGAGCACTGCGGCAGAGTGTACACCAGCACGACACTGAGAATCGAACAAGCTCCTGCGGGCGCGGTGACAGGACACTTAGAAACACACTCCGCCTTTAGCACACAGACTTATCCTGACTCCACTAAAGCCATGAAGAGGTTCCCAGAGACGGCAGTCTCCTGCAGTGCTGAATCACTGCGGGCCTTTGTCTTGAGGAAGTGGGGGCAGTGACATGTGGGGCAGATGGAGTGATGGGGCTGTTCTCAGGTCTGGGAGAGTCCCAGCTAACACACCACACCCACCCATCTTCCCAGAGACTGTTCTCTCTTACAGGAAGGTACTGGAAGTGCATTTTTAGACAAATATCTGAATCATCATGGTGACCATGTTATTTCTGCCTGGGGCCACGTTTCCTAGTTTGGACACTGATTCTATGTAACTAAAATTTCCAGCCTTGTTTCTAACAGTCACTGTGTGGAAAACTGGTAGATATTATTTCCTCACAATGGAATTTTTATTGAGCAAGCATTAAGTAGTTATTGAAAATCTCCATGGAATGAACCTAAGTTGTGTGAGAAAGCAGCTGTGGGTCCCTTCATCCTGGCTGGGAACTTTTTAAGCAAATCTGAGTTATTGCAAACCATCCCTGACTCAAAACCAAGGCAAATCAAAATAAAGAACAATGCTCCAACATTTTCAGGGAACAAAGAGGGATTGGGTGAGGAAAGAGGAGACATCTTATGAACAATCCTTTTCTTCAACAAACTGTAATGTACATTTAAAGAAGCATCTGCTCTAAGAAAAGACAAAGCCTCTTTCAAATAAGGTAACACCAGACATGAAAGCACCAGATTTTCAAAAAGCCTTTCGGAAACAGACTGCATTAAAAGCTGTGGAGTGGAACCTTAGATTTTTCGTAGAAGTGTAAACATGCACTACACGTTGTGCACCATGCCTCAGGCTGGGTGGCAGGGTGTGTATGGCTGCCATGGTGAAACCCAGCCATGTCACCTGAGTATGAAAGGTGTATTGGCAGGAAGGTGGGTGATATAGAAGTGACTACGTATGTGTGCAGCTGACCTCCTTCCACTTAGTCTTCTAGAGACTTCCTTGAGTTCACTGTTCAGTTTATTTTCAGAAAGTGTCTTTGGGGACTGTGTGTAAGATGGGTTCCTTTTTTTTTAGTTGTAGTTAGACACGATATCTTTATTTTATTTATTTTTTATGTGGTGCTGAGGATTGAATCCAGTGCTTTACCTGTGCTAGGCGAGTGCTCTACCACTGAGCCACAACCCCAGCCCGTGGGTTTCCTTTTTTTTAGGGGCATGTTTCTGACCTGGGTGCTAACTGGGGCACTGATTGCCTCCACCAGTGAATCAAGATTAGCAGATCCTCTCCAAGGACTCCAGCACATCAGGACAAGAGCCATGTTGGGATGTGACTTGCGTCTCTGGAAAGTGGGTTTCTTTTCTATACTTGGCTCCAATGTCATAGGCGAAGTGCCAAACATGCAAGAATCCAAGTACTCTGACAGGAACCATCCCGGGTAATTCTGCTTATGCCAGCTAAACAACATGCATCATTAAATAAACCATCCTCTGACTATATTTATGAAATGATATGTCTGCCGAGTAATGAGCCTATATTATTTAAACATTCAAGTGGAGACTCATTCAATTTACTCTTGCCTGCTAATATTTTTGTTTTTCATCTACTTGTGCTGATCCTACTCACATGCATTCCATGGAGAAACTGAAGCTATGAAGCAGTCATTCAAGTAATAAGAGAGGAGAGGACAGTATCTAATAAACTGACAAGCATTCAAAGATAATTCTCATGTTGTGTGTACAGAAAAAAAAATGAATCTAGAGAAATTGAAAACTATTTCAAATTCTTTGTGGGTACTGGGGACTTGTTTTTGGAAAAAGGTGAATTCCAAAAGAGTGTGCTTCCAAGTTTTGCAATGTACATTTCAAATTTACCCTAAAGGCAGTTCAACCTCACTGATGTGCAGAAGGTATCCAAAGTATTCCTCAAAATAGTCATAATTATTGAGATGATATCTACATGAAAATGCTCTGTGAAACTACATGGTAACTTCTGCTGGTACAGGGTAATGCACAAAATTAAACCTAAAACACAGCTTCCGCCCCTAAGAACTTGCAACCTAGTTGGGAACCAAGACTAAAACACAGCGCAGATCATTAAGCATTTAGAAATAGCATGAAATTGGGACTGGGGTTATGGCTCAGTGGTAGAGTGCTCACCTAGGCCCTGGTTCAGTACTCAACACCACATAAAAATAAATAAAATAAAATAAAGTTATTGTGGGGCTGGGGATGTGGCTCAAGCGGTAGCGCACTCGCCTGGCATACGTGCGGCCCCGGTTCAATCCTCAGCACCACATACAAACAAAGATTTTGTGTCTGCCGAAAACTAAAAAATAATTATTAAAAAAAAAGTTATTTGTCCAACTACAACTACTATATATAAATAAATATATATGTATATTTATTTTATTTTTTTGTAAAAAAGAGCTTGAAATTAAGACCTGATTCAGAACATAGAGAATGGCTTGACTGCAAAATTGTACAGTGATACAACCTATATGGAATTTGTTTCTTGGGCCCCACTGCCACTTGGCAGAACTTGGAAGAAACTGCTCTCTACCAGCTACAGTGGTGTGTAGGTTCCTACCATCATTGACATGTGGTTTGGAAATCGAAGTTTTTTTTTTCTCCTTGAAAGGACATGGCCAGCAATCTGTGAACCCACTTCAAAGAAAATAGTCAATGGATACTGTTAAGTTCTTTGGAGAAAATAAGAAACCTGTCCAACCTCAATCTGTGGCAGCTGGAGATTTACTTCACTCAAGAAACTGGGAGAACTATCTAGATTGATTCAACATCAAAATTAATGTGTTCTGGATGCTTTTTCTCCTTCAACTTTCCTTGCTGCCTGCAAGAAGGAACTGAGAAAATGAAGTGCTCACAAGTAAGTGGATGAGCAGCCCTTCAAAGGGACTAATGCTTGGGGGTCCCCAGCGTGCAGGGGATGACTCGGGGGAAGTAGAGAAAAGCCAGTGGGCACAGGGGATTAACTTGGAGGGTCTGACCTGCAGGGTTCAGGTTCACACAAGGTTCTCTTGCTTTTGGGTGGAGGTTAAAAACATCCCTTTCACTTTCCTTTTCTTTCAATCAAGGATTGTCAATGGGAAAACAAAACTAACTTAACAACAAGGAATCTCTTTCACGGGGGTTGAGTTCCTGGGAACAGCATCCTCCAGATCTTGTACTTTATGCTCTAAACTAGTGCCTGCAGGCAGTTCACCTTCAGATATATCCACAGAAACGGCGCGCTGTCAGGTTTTAGTGCTACAAGATCAAATGTAGCCTGTGGTATTGCACAGACTTACAAATTAGTTCCTCTATGAAATGAAACTCAACTGGATACAGAAAATTAAAGTGAATCCCTAATCGTCATCATCAGTCATCCAGCTAAAGATGGAACCTTGGAACTAGGGGAGGATAAATACTGAACACTAGGAGCCCTGGAGAAACTAATCACTTCAATGACTCCTGGCTGGCATTCATCTAACTTCAAAATACCTCAATGCTTCTTGGCATGTCCTGAGTGAAAAACCAGGACACATGTTCCATAGGGCCTCTGAGCTTGTTTCCTAGAAGTGGGGCCTGACCAATCTTTCTGTTAGGTTCAACTCACTGGATCTACTTAACTTCAGTTTTACATATTTTTACATATAAAATGTGGTGAGGTAGCTGGATACACTGTGGGGTGGGGGAAAAGCCAAGGTTTGTCAAATGGAGAGCTCTGTTCTTATAGGTTCCCCTGCAGTTGCTCACCTCCAGAGATTCCTCCTTTGTTCATAGGTGAGCTCCAGGGCAGGGTCCTCACATGAGTATTAGGATAAATCTAATTGATATGGCTACTCCCCTTAGGAGACTCTGATGAGTAGGTGGCCAGAGTAGCATAGTTAAAGACCCACTCTCCAGACCTCTACCCAACCCAACCCAGTGAGAGACCCAACGTTTACCCTAGGGCACGCCCTAAAGCAAGACAGGAAAGTGAGGCTGTTTTGAATGACAGACCTAAGGACTGAAGATGACTTGCTGATCTGAGATACAGACTGGGAAGCAGAACTGAGATGTGTCATGCCAACTAAAGATAAGATGATTAAAATTACAGAGGAGAAAAGATGCTGGAGAGTAGATGTTTCCTTTTTGTTCCCATTTTAAAAATTCTAGTAGCTCCTCCTCCCAAGCAAGGTAAGGTAGTTCCTAAATTTTGAGAGTTTCTCCCTGCTGTCAGGCATCTTGTTAGAGGCTGGCTGCAAATCAAAAAGCATCTCAATTTTCCTACCATATGCTACCTTGTAAGGAGGTAGTACTGTCTTGATGTTATAATGCTGTGGAATTTATTCAAAACCAACAAACATTGGTTATTGCTAAGCACAGTTCAAGTGTTGTGCTGGGCAGGCACATAAAAAAGATGAGAAAACAGTTTTTGACTTCTAGGAGCTTCCAGTTTAGCGGGATTGACACATGTAAACCTGGTAAATGCAATGACACAGATGAGCATCCTCAGGGTGCTTTGCAGACAGAATCTAACTCAACTATGTTAGAGGAGACCCCTGTAGGGAGAAGGCAGGCTGTGTGTGAACAGTCTTGAAGGGTGAGGCAGAGACAGCCAGGTGAAAGGGAACCAAAAGGGTCTGAGGCATTGGAAACTACAGAAAGACTGAAAAAAGAAATGATGCAATGTGATGCACTAGGACTAGTACCTGTAGTTCAGTACTGGAAGAAAATAAATAGAAGGCAGGGAATGGACTAAGAAGGACTCTAGTCACCTTTGGCTTGCAATGTCATTCTTGGAATCCTGTATCTTTTCTTCTGGGAGAGGGAGAGGACTTGATTTTTAGCACAAAAGTGAAGCTGAAGTATATATACATTTTAAGTCTCTTAGCTGCAGTCAGGCAGATGTTTGGGAGATATAAGCTTCAACGGGACAGGTAATCAGGAAGAGTGCTGAAAAGGCCCAGGTGTGAGATGGTAAGAAGTTAAACTGGGCAGTAATAGGAGGAATGGAGCGAGCAGACAGATTCTAGAAACAGGAAAAACAAAACAAACTGTAAGGATTTGAATGATTGTGTGTGAGAGATGACACAGGTGGCTGGGGGGATCCAGTCCTGGATTTTCAGCTGGAGTATCTGGGTGGATACTGGTTCCAATAACTTTAATGAGAGAGGGCACTGGTCTAGTTTTGGAGAGAATGAACCTAAGGTGACTGAGGCCAGGCAGCCTGATTCTCAGGAGAAAAGTTGGGACAAGAGATGAGTATCTGAGAGTAAACAGTAACCAAAAACTTTAGACTAGATACACTCTGTCAGCCAAAAATGAAATTCAGGGGAACACCAACAATTGACAGCAGATAAAAGAAACAAGAGTCCACAAAGGAGAAAGAGTACAAGATGGGAAGAAAAGAGAGATCAGTAAAACAAAAGGCAAGGGACAGCACATTTCAAAGTTCATGCAACAGATAAGACACACAGCATGGAAGAAGCCAGGAAAGTCCCCAAGTTTGGTAATCACAAAGTAAATATTAGGGGTTGCATTGTGTTGCCCCTCTGATCCCACCCAAAACAAAACAAAACAACAAAAAACATTAGAGTCCTAACCCCCTAATGCTTCATACTTCACAATGTGACCTCCTTTTCAAAGTTACAATGAGGTCATTAGTTAGGTTGGGCCTTAATCCAAGCATGGCTGGTGTTCTGGGAAGAAGGGGAAGTTTGAATCCAGAGGCAGACACACTCAGAGGGAAGCAAACGCTGTGAGGTCACCATGTATGAGTCAAGGAGAGAGGCCTGGAATGGATTCTTCCCCCGAAGGCCTCAAGAGGAACCAACCCTGCCATACCCTGACCTTGAATTTCTGGTCTTCAGGACTCTGAGACACTAAATTTCAGTTGTTTAAGCCACTGATTTATGGTGTTTTGTTATTGGTTGTCCTAGCAAACAAATATAATAAGTTTTATCAAGAAGAATTTCAATTGCAAGCTTAAGGGGAAGACTGGAGAGAGCTGAGGTGTGAACAGGACGTGAGGAAGTGAAGACCACACTTCAAAAACGCTTACACGAGAATGAGTTAGAGAGGAGCACTGCTTAGTTTTAGTTTGAAGATCACAGACTTGAGCGATTTCAAACACAAATGGATATCTTTTTCCAGAAAATTCCTGGCATAAAGTAGTTCGCACATACGTTCACTGAACTCTGTGATGTTAAAAACGACTATAGTAGCCATGCTCACAATTTTTTTGTTTCTGGTATTGTTTGTGAATTTTCTCCCACTTTCTCACTGATTAGTCTTACCAGAGATCTGCTATTTTATTAATAAAAAAATTAAAATTTTTGTTAGAAAAAAAGTAATTACAAGTAAAATACAGAGATGGTGATTATAGAACAGAGAGGCAATGAGAGGCAGAGCAAGGCCCTGATGGAACAGCATCCCAAAGACAGCTCTGAAACCTTTGTCCTTAGGACCTTGAGGAAGGAGAGGAGAAAGAGTGGATGTAGGTGTGGATCCCTATATTGAAAAGATGTAGTAAGCTGATGATCTCAATGCTATTCACGGGCCTAGAGCTAGCTAGGGGACAGTACAGGTTGGTGAAAAGGGAGAAATACTGCTGGGAGAGGCGGAGGGAAGCCAAGTAGGGACCAGTGGTACTGAGGGTCTGGTTCAAATGAAGATGTGTAAACTGCCATGGTGTCAATCCTTAGTTGCCCAGGTGTAACAGGATCAGTAGAGTGGATTATTGTAGGATCAATGCCAGTTCATGGTTCTTCCAAGCAGATGTGACCAAGGGTTGCTGTACAAGAAATCTGAGGATGTCACTAAAGAAATGGTTTTAGTGCTCAGAAGTGGAGACCAGATTTTGTAGGGATGAGATATGGGTAAAGAGAAACCCATAACAACAGTGAAAATGAAAGGGTGTCTTTGTATTTCAGATCAGGTGTCCTGGGAGTGAGACTGAGTGACACTGAATGGGATGTTGGCTAGAAAAGTTCCTGAGTGTAGTGTTCTTGATAAGGACAACAGAGAGCAGAACAACAGGGGGAACGGGCTAATGTGGAATGGACATAAAGACTGTGGGGATTGAAGTCCAGGCACTGCTGGGGTGGGAAGGTGTCACGCTCCTCAAAGGACATGTCCTAAGGGTGGGAAGTCTATATTAAGGATGGCCATCCAGTAGAATGAAAGCTGGCTGGTGCATTAGAGGGTTGGATTTTGCAATGCTTTACAAGTCAGAGAGCTCCTTACCTCTGGGTCCACGTCAATTAACGCTTGGACAACCCGTGCCCAGCAAAAGCTGAATTTTTGAGTCTTATTTGTTGATATAGATATAAATTTTAAAAAGCAAAATGAGAGTTGTTATTCTTACTATAAGAAGCATCGTGCACTAAAGTTATATATATTACATAAATGACTACTGATAAAATTTTGGAGAACATACCAGAAACTCCTGGCGGTGTCTTGATGAATTTTCCATTAAAATGACCAATTACAGCTTCGCATTTTTCTGTAGATTCCATCCTATTTATGAAAACAAAGTTCATAAGTATGTAGCAGTCTCTTAGTTTTCATTTTGTTTTGTTCATGCACAAACATTCTTTTAGGCTTTTTGGATACAAATGAAACCAGGCAAAAATATATGTATATAATAGTTTATACTTTTATCTGTTGCTTTTACAGTTCTCCAGAGAAAAAACTGATACTAGAGTATGTTCTAGATCATATAAGAAAGAAATTATATTGAGTGTTTAATATCAAATATATATATTCTGATTGTTGAAAAATTGAGAAAAGCAATGTATAAAAGCTTTCTTAAGTCATGATATTGAGTTAAAAGCAACAGTTTAAAATACTAGTATATTTGCTACTTGTTAGAATATTGGTTATTTTAAACATGGTCTTCCCTTTTAAGTATTCACGAAATGACAGACTAAAGAGTTGTGATAATAGCTAGTGTCAGCAGAGGATGTGTCTCACATGACTTTTACATTTGCTCCAGGTTTAAAATTAAATTAGTGAAGTCAATTATATACTTCTTTGTCATCTTGGCTTTGGAAGAGTTAATTAAAGGCTGAAGCCTAACTTTATGACTTGTTTTATATCTACAGGTGGCTAAAAACATTTGAGAATCATTTCTGGGTATTTAAATTACTTTGACTTATATTTCTTCAATAGAAGAAACACAGAATAATCTACTTAAAATACACCATATTCTGAACTACCCAGAGAATTACACCTCAGTTCTAACGGATAGTGACAATGTGAAAAACAGCAGCATTTAATTGGGCTCAGTCTTTGGATAGGTATCCCTGATTTGCTTTCAGAAGAACACCCACGGAGGTGAGGAGATGTTGTCGAGCCAATTGGTGTCCCACCCAGATCACCAATGAAGTGTGCACTTGAGATGCTGGCCCCGGTGACTTACTATTTACTGATATATTAGCTTTATTATAAAATTGTCTGGCCTAACATAACAATGGACTAAAAGCCAGAAGAACTAATTAATGGCCCTTGCTTGCTAGTGGATGATGGAAAAGTCCCTCTATGCCTCAGTTTTCTCATATATAAAGTAATATGTAATAATAATGCTTTATGCATAACACAGGTCTGTGGCAGGATGTGACTGTCTTGTATATGAAAGTAAAATGTCAGCATTTTTTCTTCCAAAGTCTAAGTTAACAATTTAAAACACATAGATATTGTTATTGCAGAAGACTAACAAGTTCCTAAATAATGTATCATGTAAAATCAGCTTTTTTTTTTTTTTTTAATGGGCTTTAGGATTAGAATTTCTCTGGAAATCAAAGCTCTTTCTGTTTTATACATTTTCTCTAGAAACCAAATTAATGATTACACTAAAGTATCCTTTCTGGGGAGGAAGAGATAAAATGGAGGAATAAGATACTTTAGTTATATCTGGAGCACTTACTTCTTAAAAAACTAAAGTGAGAATTATAAGATATTTAAATTTATGTGGTAGTTAGGTGTTAAATCCTTTTCTTTCATGAATGTTTGAAAAATCTAATTAACTCACTTTATTGATGATGAATCACATTTCTGTCTAAAGAGAAAAAAACATACTGATTTATCTATGAAATTTAGGAGACTGGTTGTCATTTTAAAGAAATTTAATTTCTTAAAAATTAATTTAATCAGAACATAAGACACAAACACTTTCAGAATTATTGCTCATATAATACTTCTTTGCCTTGAGCCAGCAAATATGTGTGCTCAGTTTCAAGAATACTAATGAAATTCCAAAAGATTTTTTAAAAATTACATGTAAATTTACACTGGTGCCCATAAGCCTGGCTTAAATTTGCTTGATTATTTTTTTTAATTTGTAGGATAACTCAACAGAGCTTCTGCTGGTGTAATAAAGGGAGGGCAGCATGCTTACCTAGCAAAGCCAACACCGCGACTTGTACCACTGGAATCACGTAGTATCCTTGTAGAAATAACTTGTCCAAAGGGTTTGAGCATATTTTCAAGTTCTTGCTCATCCATGGACAGGGGCAAATTAGAAATATACAGGTTGGTAGGATCCTGTTCCTGTTGCTAAAGCAGAACAGAGAATTGTCTATCAATTTCTAGGAGAAGGTGAGATATTTATGTTAACATATCTAATTGTATGTAGGCACCCTCTTTGCTCACATCCTTTTAAAGTATTATCTAGTGAAACCATGGGATCCATGGAACACTAAAATCACCTTGGACACTTGAAAACAGTGTCCACACTTTGGACAGTGTGTACAGGTCTGACCTAGTTCCCAGAGCCCTTCTCGGCAGAGGTGGAAGTGGCATCACGTTGGAAAGGGTGATGCTGAGTTGGAGAGGGTGCCCTTCAGAAACCACAGCTCTCAGCTATTTTCAGTGTTTCCAAAAATAACCAACCTCTCTTCCATTGCTATTTTTAGGAGTTCATTTCAGGCACAAGCAGGAGGCTATTACTGCTAATAATTCAATTTAGAGATACATCAGAAAGATTTCTGATCAAATGTATGAAAGATGATATGTCATGAGCTTTGTAATGTTTTGAACAACCAATAAAAAAAAAAATTTCTGGATCAAGTCACGTGGATTCCGGTATAGGCTTTCCCCAATCTGCCCTATGGCAAAGTCCATATGACTTTCAAGTAGTGATCAGCAATGGAAAAAGAAGAGCTCCTAACTTAATCCAAAAGAGAAACTCAAAGCCATATAAAATGGTAAACTCTGGGCAGATCAAATTTTAGAATCTTATAAAAGCTGAACTCAAGAGTAGATGGAGAGAGAAGGTGTGCTAACTCCGTGCTATACAAAGAGTGATCCAGGGACCAGCAATACTATTAGGAATTATCTGGGAACTATTCGAAATGCAGAGTCTCAGGCCCTACTTCAGACCTGCAGAATCAAAAACTGCATTTTAACAAGATACTCAAGTGATTCATAAGCATATGAAAACCTGAGAAGCAGTACTCTTAGATAATTTTGCATCCGACTTTCCTTTGTTGGGGGTAGAATCAGCTAGAATCAGATATGATTGCCAGTAAATGCAATGTTAGGGTATGTCAATCACCAGGAAAAAAGTTTACCTGACAACTGGAATATTTTCTGACCAGATCAAAATTCACTTCTGCAAATACGAGATTAGTGTAACCTTAATTTAAAATTAGCCTTTCCTTTGATCTTATTAACCAATTGTATCTTTATGTATTGAAGCATAGGACAGCTTATAATTTTTCTTTAATAAGCACTATTAATAAAGTCATTAATTTGTAGATTAGCCTTTGGAAATGAAATGGCATACCCATTATAGCTTTCTAGATTTTTGAAATGCACAGTACTTTAAAAATATGTGAAGCACTATGCATGTTTGAATTTTTATAAAGTCTTTTCAAAGTATACCAGCATTAATTAATCCTGAAATGAAAATCTTCCTTTTCTATAATTCACAAGTAAAAAGTGAACAGTGACCTTTTGTGCTATACTTACAGGGTAAGATTTAAAATAAATCAGGGGCTGAGTTATAGCTTAGGGATAGAGCTCTTGCCCAGCATGCCTGAGACCCTGGGTTCAATTCCTAGCCCAGCAAAAATCAATCATCAATCAGTCACTTGATCTGGTACCTAGGTAAATGCCCTAGTATTCCCAAGAACTAAAGTTATCAAAGATTACAACTACGACCAATAAGTACTGTTCTTACAACTGCCTGTCACCAAGGAAGGCAGTGTAAGCAGGCCACGTGGGGCCAAGAAAAAGTTAAAAAATTATTAAATGCTCAATAGCAAACAGAGCACTCACCATCTTGAACTGTTCACAGGCTAAATAAATGGCAACCGTCTTTTTGGTTTTTGGATGAGTTCAGTGGGGTACTATTGATTATCTTACGTTGAGCAAAATCTATTGTCTACTATAAAAAGTATATCTTTAATGTCTTCAAATTTGAAAACTGATTTATTTAATAGATACAGGACAATAATATATACAGTGTTCCAAAACAGGGAAAAAATCAATAAAAATGGTTTTAGGTACTAACGTTTTCCAATGCAGACCTCTACCAACCCAGTAAACTGGCCAGTTCCTCTATTAGCCATCTCCCTTTGGCCTTAGTCTCCCCTAAGTTTCTGAGGCTTTCCTGGAGTGCCAGCGAGTATTTGTTAGTATAGAAATCTGGCCCTGCACCAACCAGCACAGAGTTCTTGGTCCTTAGGGTGGGTCTTGAGGGAACCTGTGTCTTCAATGAGCTAAAGGACATTTCCTGTGCCCCTCACACTTCACAGACTCTCACTATAAAATAACTATGACCTAGTCCTGCTTTTCACAGCTTCCCATTAAACAGGGGAGATGGAAGCACGTAGTGAAGGCTAGATGTGTGCAAGTCAAGATGGGAGGACAGCGGTGGTAAGGGACACTTTGTTGAGAGGAAAGGGGAGTTGAGGAACAAGAAGAAGGCAAGAGGTTGAAACCAACTGTGAAAGGCTATCCAGGAGTTTGGTTTTATTGTATCAACCCTTGCTGCTTAGACTTTCCCACTTAAGGAATGCTAAGGGCAAGGAGAATGTGTATCCAGAAGAGTCCATGGGCAAAAGCCAAAGCAGCCTTGCCAGGGCTGGAAAATTTCCTTGAAATCCTGTGCTTTATCTTAATATTGCTTTTTTACTTTTTTTTTTTTTTTTTTTTTTAACAATTTGAGCTTTAACAGAGAAAAAATATTTCTGATCTAATATCATGGAGTAACACTGATACCTCAGGAAGATAAACCATGTTTCTCTTATCTTTCACTTTTCTGGAAGGTAAGACGGAGAAAGAGGAAGGACAAACTGTAGTTTGAAACTTACACTTTGAAAAATTGGGAGGCTTTGGAGACACAGAGCAGGGGAATTAGAGAACCAACATACCTTAGATTTTTGAATCATGTTTAGTCAGATTCAGAAGCAAGTGGAAAACTCCCTAATCAAAGGGCATTAAAATACTCTTTATACAAAAATATAGCATTTAAAAAATGTTACTTACAAAATTATGTGTATGTGTATTATAGACTTTCTTTTAAAAATTATAATCATGAAGATCTCTCAATGACTAATGTTTAAGAGTGCTCACAGGAGAATTTGTTATAAATGAAGTAATTTTTAGAGTGAGACTACAACGTAGATACTAAGTACTTCCCAAACCTGTGTTTTAGTTGCTTGCATCTATGAAGTTAGTAATAAAAATATTTCACATTCTACAAGGTCTTGATTCAAATGGGAAGTTTATCAATGAAGAAAAAAATTGCTTAGAATCATAATCCAGAAAGAAATTGGACTTTTAGTTCTTTCTTGGATATAGTGAAAGAGAGTGATCTAAATAGATGTAAATATTTCCTATGACTTTTTTTTGTGTTTGTTTTCAACAGCAACAATTCTTGTTTAGGTTTCTTCATTTGGGATGACCATTAGTGCTAATATTACTTATATTTCTTTTTCAATACTACCCATAATATTAGAGTAATTTTAAAGTTAAAAAACAAACTAACCACAAAAGAATGGGGAGAAACTCCAAGAGGCAGTTTAAGCCACAAAAATAATCTAATCCCAAAGTGTCTGTGTGTTCTTTACCATACATTCATTATGAATAGAACATATAATATTTTCAGTCACTGGTGATGTTTTGCACACTGAGGATAATTTAATCTCCCTAAAATCGGCAACAACCATGTAACTCTGTTGTATTATGTCTGAAAAATAAGTTGCTATGTCTGAAAAATAAATGTATTCTGTCAATTATAGGTGGCTAAACAAAAGTGGGACCAACGGCCTCTTTATGTCCCTAGACACGGAAGGGATTCAAGGGCCTCTCTAACAAGTGGAAAACTAGATCCCACATCAGCCATGAGAGGGATAAATGGGTACTAATGTTCACTTGAGTAGAAAAGCGGGGCTTGGAGGTCCCACATGGTGTAAAGCACTCAGTCATCATCTGAAAGAAATTAACAAAAACCTCCCTGTGCGTGTGGAATGGTTCCTAAAATGCAAGAAAGGGACTTGGCAGGAAGAGCAGACATCTGTTTTCTCTTGTACTGAATACCAACCAGCAGATAGCCACTCATGGGCATGTGACTGCAAACTGCTTGGAGCATGGTGGACTAGGGGTGTTGTGAGGACTAAATTCCTGCTCAGTGACTACCCATTTATTGAGAAAAATGTGCAAGCTTCCCATCAGCCAAGTAGCACCCAATGATCTGCTGACCTCCAGCAGGCCTCAGAAGGTACCAAAGGTTTAGAGAAGTCACATTGTTAACAGGTATCATTGATGTTTATTCACATTTTACATCTTAGTTCCCAAGTTCAACATAAATAGGCTTTCCAAAAGGCCCAAGGCCATTTCTATTTGAGAAGTTTCATCGGGGTACTCCATGAATATGATTTTTAAATGTCCCTTTCACTCCTTTACTTTTTGGACTGGGGATTGATCCTAGAGGTGCTTTATATCTAAGCTACATCCCTAGGCCTTTTTAAAACTTTTATTTTGAGACAGGGTCTTGCTAAGTTGCTGAGGATGGCATCGAATTTGCCATCCTCCTGTCTCCCCAATTGTGGGGATAACAGGCAAGAACCACGGCACCTAGCTAAAATCTCTCTCTTAATTCTCAATTAACTGCCTAGGCTCAGAAGGAAGTTTTTTCCCTCCCTCTCACTTAAATGATTTTTTTGATTATTAACAAAACAAAAAAAATATTACCACGTGGCAAGGACCAAGCAAGCCATCGAAAATACATGAATAATAATAATAATAATAAAAAAAATCCCTGGTCTCTAATGTTTCAATTTGCAGTTTTGAACATCTGTGGGATCCTTTCTGAACTCAATCAACATGCCAAACAACACTGCATTTCCCCCTTCCCTCACCAAAATGGCCCTTATTTTTTTCTGATTATGTTTAATATATGGATTTTCAACACATAGGTGTATCCTGATTCGTCCACTAAAGGAAAGGGGACAGTGACAGGCCCTTGTCATTCAAGCACAGGAGCCAGATTAACTTCCTTTAAAAATCCTCTCTCCAAAAGATGCACGCCAAAGACTCCTTTATCAAGACAGAACAAAGAGGCTAAACCAAACGCGGACTCGCAAAACCCTTGAATTTATGGTACAGAACAAGAGATCTGCTAGCATTATAAAATACATTTTTTAACTATAAAGATATAATAAAAAAAGAATTTAGATCAAAGAAACTCAAGTCATTCTACAGGGACCTGAAGAAATTCATACTATGGAATGTTGGCACATGGCCAGCATCTCTAATCCCGCACAATGGTCTTCCCCACAGATGATGGAGGAAGGGATCATTTCTCCTAGCCAATTTACAGTATAAAGCCTACCAAGGAGGTCTTTGAACAGAGCTCATTATCAACCCACAGGGAAGCTGGCATTCAAAGTGCACCATGGATATGACATGTAGTACCAATCTACACCCAGTCCTATGTTGACTAAAAGCATTGTAAAGAATTTTTCAAAATAGTATATATTTAATATAATATGCTGCTTAATATTCAGGCATTGGGAATGATCCTAGGGCAAGTGGTCAGGGGCACTCAAAATCGCCTTTGCATTTTGTTAACAGGCTGACAAAAAGGCCTTTTTCTAACTCTGATTCAACTGAGGCCACAAAACAATGGGTGTCTGGTGCTTCCACATTCCAGAGTGAGAAACCAGGCCATCAGAGAGAGCCTGCAAGGAGCTGGCTGAGAACTGGTTTGGGATGCTTATGTGAACACTGCCTCCTGTCTGTCTATAAGAGATTGGACAAGTGGAAATAAGCTTTATGTGGAAAGAAAGGTGCATGTGCTTTGAGTCTCAATATATGGGCTGTTTCCCTCTCATTATCCGGCCAGCAGCAGGGGCTTCAACAGACCAATCAGCAGGCCTGGTCTGTGTCCCACGGGCTTGCTGGATACAATGGTCCATGCCACACTCAAAAGCTGAGTAATCTGGAAGCAGAAATGTTGGTTGAAGGGGGCTACAGGTGTGGCTGGGAAGAAACTATTTGACTGCAGATGGCCGGCAAAGGTGGATCAGAAGTAGGCCCATAGGCAGAGTTGGCTCCAGGTTGTGTTAGATCCCCCCCCAGGGAGGTTAGGGGACAGGGAAGTTCTAGAAGAATGGTGCTGAGGATGGCCTTCCATTTGAGGTTTCCAGTCCAAGGACACGTATTCTCTAGCTTTAAGGGATTATGGGGAAAGATCAGATTGAAAGGAAAGGTGGGGTTGGGTAAACAACTAAGAAAAATGCCAGAAGCATTCCATGAGAGAAAGCATCAGTCTGCTGCCTGGCCAAAGAAATCAACCTCAGATTACCTCTGCTACTCCAACCCTGGAGGGTTAGGAGCTGCAAATAGGGAGCTGACAGCAGGGGTGGGAGCAGGAGAAGCACTAGTTCTGGAAACAGAAACCACTCATGTTCCCATCCCACCGCAACCAGGCTGTTTGGAACAGACCTGATCAGGTGGAGAGACTGATTTTTACACGACACTCAGAATTTGTTAAATAAACAGAGATGGATATTGAAACACTGAACACTTAATAGAACAATCCATTTTTGAAAACCAGATATTCAGCATCAAAAAGTTAACCAAAAATATTTCATATTATCTTAAATAAGCAAGTTATAATGTATTACATATTAGTCACAACCCAAACCAGTCTTCTAAAATATAATTAAATTGACTGTCCTAAAATTCCCTAAATTATAACTAAATACATTCATTATACATATCTGTGTGAGTAAATACACATGTAATAAACGATTATGTTGGGATGGAAACCTTCAAGACACTGCTTCCTGGTCACCAGATAATCAACATAGTTGTCAGCAAATAGTTGTTACATACATAGGCTGTGATGTCTTTCTGCAACAGTGACATGCAAGACACACATCCCTTTTGTGGACTCTCAGCAGCTTTCAAGCTTCTCCACAAGATCCTAACATTTGAAAAATTCTATTTGAAATGTAACTTAAGGCTTTCCCCATACATTGACTTGTCTAGAATATCATTTTGAGGTTGGGCAATGTAAATACACACAGAAGTGCCTGGAAATGTATTAAAGGATATGTGTGTTTCATGGAGTTTGGACATGAAAAATAAAGAGGCATTCTAACCCACCATCCTCTAAAATCAACCAGAAAGACCTGAAATGAAAGAAGCAAGTGAAGGGACTTTTTTGAAATAAAGAAAAGTCATGGGACCTGCCCTGGATTTTATCCAACCAGAGCGTCGCAGAGTAGAACAGACAGAGTGGAGGACAGAAGAGTGGTTTTCTGAATGAACCCCTAAGAGTCCTGCTTACAGAATATTTGCTCACTGTTTACAGAGCCAGATTAAACATTGTGCCAATCATGATGCAAAGCTGGTATCTCATATTTACAATATACTTAAAATTTCATTGCTTCTCAACAATATTACAGGAAATTACTCTTTATGGAGGACAAATAATCTAAGTCATCATTGCTATTTTTTAATATTTTTTAGTTATAGATGGACACAATATCTTTATTTTATTTTTATGTGGTGCTGAGGATCGAACCCCGTGCCTCACACATGCTAGGCGAGCGCTCTGCTTCTAAGCCACAACCCCAGCCCAAGATGCTTACTATTTATAGTTTTGTTTAACTTCTACTCTGGAGTTCAAGAAAAGCCAAAGTAAGTGCAACTCAACATAAAGCTTTAAAAACATTCTACGGCAAGGTTACCTTAAAATGTGATTCCTTCTATTAATTCCTAAAATCTTTATCTATGTTCATTCTTTCATTCAAAGTAAGCCTCGATCCTGGTAGTTGCACACATGTTCTTCAGTAGCCTGTAATTGCTAAAGTCTAAGTGGTAACTTGGCTTTTAGGTCTCAGCAGGTAATGTATTTATCTTAGAGTTTTTTTTTTTTTTTTTAACTTCAATAAACCTTTGCTTATGGACATGGGAGTGCTCTTTAGGAAATGATCATTTGTTACTATTTAGAAGTAGCAGAGGTCAGTAGAAAATTCCTTTTTTCAGTATTTCATGAAGCCAGATAATATAACATTGCTGCCTCTTTGAATTGAAAAGAATGCTTAAAATATCAAAGTGCCACATTTCAGGTTTGAAAACAGATCCTACAGTAATTGAAGATCCAAAGTTGGGAAAAAAATCTATATAACTACAGGCAAATCTTCATAGTTGCATTATAGGTACTTGCTATTAGCATATAACCTAAAAGTAACATTGACTGAATTGACACTTATGCCCAAGTCTTTGCTGCCCAAATGTAAGCTTGAGTTATATGCTTACAGCTAGTACCTACATGCAATTATGAAGATATACCTGTAGTTAAGTAGATTTTTCCCCTGTCTTTGGATCTTCAATTGTTGTCATATCTGTTTTCAAACTTGAAACTTGGCAGTTTCAGAAGGTCTGTTACAGAATACAAAACATGCCATTTCATGGGTTCTTCTCTTTTCTGAATCTTAGTTTTTCTTAATAAAATGATTGTGCCTATTTGAAAGTAGGAAGGAGCACAATTGGAGGTCTCCTCAGCTTTGTAATCATGACTGCACCTGTCTGTGTAACTGAGATCAGGGATGGTCACCCTTCCGGAGTGCATCAAATCTAAGGCATCATCATGTCTTTTGAAAAAGGAATTGGGCATCTTAAACTAACTTCAATGAAGAGCATAATATGAAAAGAAAGAGACAATAACTGGCTGGTTAACTCAATTCACCTTTCTAAATTATGATATTGTAGATTCTATGGAAAAACTTGGAGAGGAACTGTCATAAGAAAAAAATTTTCAAGGGAAACATTATGTCTTACAGTAATTAGTATCTATGTGTACTGTACTAAGCTATTCATTAAGCAAGAAACTTATGGTTTCCATTTTATAATTCTTGGACATTCAGGCACATTCCTTACCCTGAGAAATTTTTTTAAAATTTATTTACATGTTATGTAATTTACTATGTGAATTGTATGCATTTATAAATCCTCCTTCCCATGGTAAATTATGAGGAATGTATAATACTTGTCAGAGTACTACTGCTGAGGATGTGGAGACATAGGGCAGATATTTAGCAGGAGCTGTGGCTAGCAGGGACAGAGGGAGCGAGGAATGGTGCAGGAAGAGGCTTCAGGAGCAAAGTGCTTGACTCACCTTGGCCATTTGAGCCTGAACCCCACTAGCCTTCAGGGCCGACACGGCTTTCTGAGCTGCTGCAGGACTGTCGAAGTCAACAAAACCATAACCTGAAATGCAAAACACGGTTTTTATTAAGTCATTATTTTATGATTATGTGTGAAAAGTAGAAGAATGACTCCACTTTGTCTCCACTCTGACAAAAGAAACGGAAAACACCATGAGAGGACACAGGTGTTCACAGCCGCAGTGCAGTGACATCCTCAATTCTTCCTCCTGGTGGTTAGTCTGAGCTGGACAAGCCTCCCTTCCCAGTGTGTGTGCCGTGTGGAGAGGAGAACTGGCTTTGTCCCATGCAAGATCTTCTTAGGTGTCCTATGGTTACTATGAAAACAATGACATCTCAGTTGCCAACCAAAGTTAGAAAAGGTGGGGAGGGGGCAGGAAACAACTTCAGAGAAATACTGCTTTTAATGATGTGGTAATGAAGATAAGAGCCATCCCACTGGGCTGACAAATGACAGCAGCAAAAATTACGTTGTTTCTTCTTCTTTATTTTTTTGGTACTGGGTATTCAACTCAGGGATGCTTTACCACCGAGCTACATCTCCAGGCCTGCCCCTGCAACCTTTTATTTTATTTTTTTTTGAGACAAATTCTAAGTTGCTTAGGTCCTGGCTAATTTTCTGAGGCTGGCCTTGAACTTGCAATCCTACTGCTTCAGCCTCCAAAGTTACTGAGATTACAGGTGTGCGCCACCATGCCTGGCAAAAATTATGCTTATTCTGTAGAACTTTACTTTTCAAAATTAAAAAAAGTACCATCATTAGATACCCCAAATATAAGATAATCTAAATTTTGGTAACTGGTTAAAAGTACTATTTACCTAAAATATAGCTCATTGTATCTCTTCAAATGAAAGAGGGAAAGAAAATACCTCCAGATACCTAAAATATTTGAAGCAGTTCATGCCCTAAAGTCTAAAACCAAAATGCAACATACACACACAAAAACAAATAACCACCTATAAGAGGTTGTGGTCTAAAGCTTATTTATCCATAGGTTTACATTTTTAACAAGCTGGTCATCTATTTTCTCAGGCCACAAGAAATCATAGCAGAAAATTAGGCAAAAAGGGGTTCTGATGAGGATAGGGCTACAAAGCAAGCACATGGATGAAGGCATCTAGCCGTGAAAAACCACAACAAGCCACAAAAGAGAAAAGTTGAACAAAGAGCAGGACTTCCACAGCATATGAGCAAGCAGCCCCATGAATCTCAACAGATCCTGAGAGCTCGGCTGTATTAAGACAGAGAATTGTAGATTTTCTTTCAGTCTGATAACTTCATTATTGAGGGAAGGTTGAGTTATATTTAGTACACTGTTTAAAGGAACAGGATTCCTTTCCTCAAAGCAAAGTACCAGAATCTCCCTTGGAACTCATATCAACTATTACAAAATTAATTTCAAAGTAAGTACATTTTGAAAAAGGAAGGTACCATGTGGAGGTTGTGTGGAAGAGGAGTCAGTCTGTCACTGATTTCTACATATTATGAAGAAATGGTACATAATTGAGATAGCATGGTACTAGTGTCAAAATAGACAAACACACAGCAACATGGTCAAAGAGAAAGCCTCAGAAACAGTCCAGTTTGTAGCACTGGTACCAAAAATATTGCCTGGTAATAAAATAGAGTAGACAGACTATTGATTACAGAGAGACGTTTCAGGAGAGATGAATGTTAATGCAGCTTCCTTGTAGTACTTAGAATTGGACTGAAATTATGCCCAATTTGATTTAGACAATAGTGAAATAGCCAGGTTGAGGAAAAGAAGAGGAGGCTGATCGAGGCCAAAGCAGAGAATGCTACTCAACTGCCAGGTTAGAGATCAGGTTAAACGTATTTTGGATGTTATTGAGAAATTTGCTGTTAATGCTGACTTATCATATTCTGAGGATGGATGCACATGCATGTGTGCACTCTTCAGCAGGTCATAAATGAACACATAGCCATGACAATCAAATGACATAGCTTCTACTAGTGGATGTTTAAAGTTTTCCACCAATTTTGCTATTTGCAATAAATAACAATAAGCAGGTATTCTCAATTTCTGCTCCTACCTTAGCTTTTCCTGTTGGTCTGATTATTATATATATATATCTCCAACCTCTTGGTCTGATCTGCCCTCACCCTTTCTGATTACAAGTGTGTATGTTCTGGTCCATGTGCAGCCATGTATGAATGATCAGATACATAATTAGTCCTTTGGAAGTTCTGCCCTGAACCGCCACATAGAACAGTGTTGGTAAATCTTCAAATCTCTCTTGTTGGCCAAATTCTGACAGAAGCTGAAACATTAAACAATTGAATTTTCAATAACTAAGGCACGTGTTATTCAGATTTAATATATCCTTTAGCTTAATTTTGTCCAAAGAGGCTCCAAAATATGATTTATGACAAAATGTCCTATGACCTTTCATGAATTTTTATTTCCATGCTTATAATTCTCATATTTAATCTCTAAAAATTAATATATAATATAAGCACCATTCATTTATACTAATGCTCTATAATCTCATGTATTAATTTATCTATATCCACCTCTCAATCTATCTAACCTATATTTATCTACCTACTTACCTACCATTGTAAGTTGCTTTGGGTAGCATGTCATTTAACTTTATTATGAGCTAAATTACATGTTATTTCTTATTTGTCTTAACATTATTAATGTTCCCCCCCCCCCCCGCCCCCATAAACTCTCTCATTCTGGTTTCCTATTCTTACCTCTACCTCCTTTCCAAGGTATCTGCTGGCATCAAGTGCTGAGAGGTTTGCTCAAGGCAGAGAGCCCTGCAGGGTCTCATCACCGACCACACAGAGGCAGTGTCTCCTCAAGCCCAGGTGAAGGGAAGCTCTCCAGGGGACTTAAACGTAAAGTCAATTCTGAATTACAACCTCCCTTTCTCTGGAAGCCCCATAAGCCTCTTCATTTATCTGTGGACCCATTCCAAATATTAGGGCTGTGCATTATAATAATATGGGAGATGTGGCATTAGTTAATTTGTACCCATACCCTTTCTAAATCATGATGGGCACTGTAGAGTGTTGGCTTCCAGGGAATAGGCTGTCATTGGAGAAGAGTGTACAGTGGTGGTTTTGCAACCAGAGGACTCTGGGTCCTCTCCCTCTCTTAACTAGGGCAGCTCTGCTTTGCAGCAAACTGAACTGCCTTGTAAGATTTCTTGTTAGGCCAGGAAGAAAAGCAGGGGAGGTAGGATAAGGCCAAAACCACTTATCTACTGCAATGTCTCTCTTGGTTTGAAACTGTTGAGATCAGTTTCCTGTTTTATGCTGGCAAGTCTACTTTTCTTTATAAAACCAAAATATTTTTTATGTCTCTGTTCTCTCAAATCATTTATAAGTGTTAAATAAGACAAATCGTGGCAACTAAGTGTATGTATTTGAGTCTACAAGTTAACTCTCTCTAGTTTAATTTATTTTAAATATTTAATGGGGTACTACTCTACATAAAGCACAATCCCAAGGCAAAACTGCCTTAATGTGCCATGTTGATTAAACATGGGCTTAGATATTTGTCACAATAGCTCCTTTAAATCTAGGCACTTTGAAGAAGAGACAGAAATACAATGGACCACTTCAAGTCTAGATTAAAGGAAATGGCTGGCTTAAGAGGAGAGGCCCTACTATAAGGTTCATTTATGTTCTTCGCCTTTTTCAAATTGTACTAAGCCACTGCCCCGTCACCACTACTTGAAAAACTAGGGTCTAATTAATGAGGAGATTTGCCTTCTCTGCCTATTCCTGTCAACCTTATTTCAATTCATGGGGTCAGTAGTTAGATTCAAAGTCAGCTGACTCCATTCTTTCCTTTTCCTAGAAATCACATGCCTATTGTTAAGATGCTGGATCATTAAAAGTCAGAAGCACAGAGCATCCGAGCTGCCTACTGCAGACGCCTCCTCTTCCAGCTCATGGAGTTGGATGAGCTCATCCTAATTACACGGAAAACTGAAGGTCAGTGCATCAAATTAATGCAGCAGCATATTTCAAAGGGGTGCATGACCTCCCCTCCCCATTACAATTTGGTCAGTGAAAATGGTTCTCTCCTCCCTGCTGCCAATATTGTCAACAGGCATTCAGCAGAGAACAATTGGGAGTATTGAAACATGTAATTAAGTACTGCTTAAAACTACTCTATTCTAATTAATAGAGCCAATTTGCACAATATGTAATCTTTTCAGTTCTTTAGTACAGTCCAATGGTCTTCAGTAAGCAGCTCTAATCTCCTCAGGCTCAAGAAAGAAAAGCTATTTTCTAAACTCTACTCCCCTTTTAAAAGTAGGGGCTAAATGCCAACTACTATTTTGCATGTTAACTATACTGGCGCCAAATCTGGCAAACTGCAAGTTGCTGTTGAGTTTCCAGCCAAAACCCAAACCAGGGACAAAACAAACGTAAGCAGTGTGCTAATGTTGTGCAAGACAGAAACTGGGAGACACATGAGATTTGATTTTGAATAAAATGGGGGGTAATCTGGTAACCTAAGACCAGATTCAAAATTCCATCATTTTTTAAAGTTATGATTTAGCAAATATTCAGCCACAAAAACATACCTTTGCATTTGTTCGTTGTCTTATCCAAAATTGCCTTTGTGGAAACTATTTTCCCATATCTGAAAAGGAAAGGAAAAAAAGTTATAAAGAAGAACTCTTATTAATGTCTAAATCTAAAGAACATGCATACTTTTCAAACACCTGCAAACTTTAAAGTACAAAATATTCTTTACTAAGCGGCAAGCCGTGGAAATTCTAAATTCAACACTTAACTAAGTCTTCCAGTCTTCCCTTCTGAATCTTTGGGTTACAGTTTGATGTTTAGCTTTGAAGAACGGGTACTAATCTGACAATCTTGATATAAAAACACAGGAAATGTATTCTGTGAAAGTATTTTCTTCTACCAACACTATGTCTATGGTCAAATACAAGTCTGTAGAATTATTAAAGTTCTATGACTTGCACAGCTTTTATGAAATAATAATGGTGGAGAGCTGCTGCATTCTTCTATGCCTGGTGATTCCACAGCCAGTGCTGCACGGATCATCACAGAGGGCTGGTGGGCCTGTGTGTAAGTTTAACACACTTAACGATAATAAAATAGGTCTTTTCATTTTTACTAAAGACTTCTGTCATTATCCATGAATTATTTACTAATGCTACTTTTAACTCTAATAACAATATAGTACACTAATATGTGTGCATGTAACGTGTGTAAGAAATGGATAATCAAGAATATAAAAAATGCACCAGGGATTAATCATTCATTTTATGAGGGTGTGTATGAGAAATATGTTCAAATTTCTTAATGTGCTATAGAAGTAGGGGGAGATGGAAAAAATGCAGAACACTAAAATTTAGTGCACGCCTACTGAAAATGAAGAAATCGTATAACTTAATTATGTGTATCTCACCCCACACCCTCTGAGAGCACAAACTTTGAGAAAAAGCATCATTGACTATGCTTGTCTTCTAAAAAATCGAGGGGAAAAAAATCTTTGATTTTTAAGAATTTTTTTTAAGAAGTATTTTTCAAAGTAAAACTTGGGGAAACATAACTTACTTCATGTATCTGAACTGCAAGTTTCCTCATTTGTACGTGGTAAATTCCAAAATTCTATTTTCTCACAAGTTAACTTTAAAATAGTCTCACATTTGGTTTCCTATACCTTTCTCATGATTGATTTTTGAGGACTAAAACAAGTTTTTAAATTTCTAGGAAACCTAAGTATCTGTGCAACATGTTAAACCACCTTGAATATTGTAAACATCTATTTTATACACACTGAAACCAGCTGACATGTATTTATCTGGAAAAAAACAAATGGCTTGAGCCACCTCACTCCTCCAGTTAATTTTCCTTATTTTCATTCGGTGTAATCATGTAGTCAGATGATTACTAACTAGGCATGAAAGTAAAGATAATTTAAGGTTCAAATGTCAATTACAACTGAGAGACATAATGGTGCACAAACACCTTCAATTCCCTGTAGAGATTCTGAGTATATATAACAACATTAACACAGATCACTAAGCTGACTCAAAATAATTTTAGAAATCCACAAATGATAAGACTAAGTAATTTAAAGATAATCTTTTAGCAACCATCTATCTACCTAGGTTATATGCTTGATACTTACCAGCACTCTCATTTGCACAAGTCTACAATGAAAGCATTTTTAGATTCTATCCCTGCACACACTTTTCCAAAAGCAGGGGAAAACGCTAGTATGATTCCAATTTAGAAGAGGGAATTGAGAGTCACAGAGGTTCAGAGACCATGCCTGAGGTCATATGGTTCAGAGCCCTTTGTCAACCTAATAGAAAAGGACATTCAGAAGATGACAAGGTTGGCCTTGTACCCTCTGGTTATGCTTTCAACATTTAATGATGGGAAAGATAGGGACAGACATGAGGTGTGGGAGTAGGAAAAGAAAAAAAGACTCTTGGTAGCACTGATACTCAATCCATGTTACACACTCTTCTGCTTCTGGCTCTCTCTGACCTCTGCTACATGTGACATGAGTGCTTATGTCCGCGTCTGTGCCAAGTGTACCTTTCTCTTTGCCTCTGGGTCTGGTACCCAGGTGTGCATCTCATTTCACTTTTCTCTGCTCTTTTTCAGGGACTCTGTGTCCATTCAAGTTCCTCCTCTCTTTCATTAGCTGAAAACTTTCACCAAATTTAATATTTTTTCCTCAACACTTCCTTCCCTTAGAAAATTTACCTAGTGCTATAATTGTAAGTAATGAATCTCTTCTGATGATGCCCATTTCTCCTTCCTACTCTTTTGCTTTTAATCCCATCAAAACTTATTTTTAAAAGGTGTAGACAAAAAAAAAAAAACTATCTTAATGTTTTATTAAGATACCTAAATATCTAGTTAAATATCATCTCATGTCCATCATTTCACAAATTCTATCCACGCCAGCATCCCAAACACATCTCTCCTGTCTCCTCTCTGTATCTCTTTTCACCTAATAGAATAGTTACTCTCCCAATCTCCCACCAAGCTCGGGGTCCTTCACACAGCATCAACTCAATCATTCCTCCATCCATTCAGTCAATAATTCTCCTGAGTTTTGTCTTTGATATGTTTCCAAAATTTATTCCTTCCTTAAACCATGTCTATTCAGTGCTTTTTGCAAAAATCTAGTTTCTCCATGCCTCTGGCTTTCCAAGAGGACTTGTCTGCTGCATTAACTTGCCTCAAACACCACTTTAAACCCTTCTCTACCATCTTTCTATTACTCCATTCCATCCATGCTTGATTTTGAAGGATCTGTTCAAACACTATCTTTTCCATGAGAGCACTACTAATTTCCTCAATCATTTGGCTATTTTATAAGAAACCAAAAGGGGATTATGTTTATTGAGTTTCTACTTATATTCATGGCACTGTGCCAGGTACTCTGCATGTGTGATATTATTTAACTTCCCAATCTATGAGGTTAGGTGTTATTATTCCTATTTTTGCAAATGGGTAAACAAAAACTCACAGAAGTTTTGAATCTAAGATCTTATCTAAAATCCCAAAGCTCAAAAATGAACAGTATCCAAGTTCTCATTGTAATTTCTCTATAAAATTTCCTTGAGGAACAATGTTTCCTTTTTGCTCTTAGTAGGAGAAAAGAAAAGATGTTCTCTTAGACTACTATGGATTGAAATGATGTACTTTTGAAGCCTAAGCAATTTTTTAATCTTAAGAAATAAAATGTGGCTCATGATTGAATGAAGGATAAGGAAAGAGAAAAGAAGAGAGATTTCTGAAATTTATCAGTTTTACTTTCCTTGTGGTTTTCATCATGATTTGCGGGTTAAGACTGAGAAAGCATGATTTCACAGAAAGTTAGAAAACAGTATCCTCTCTGTCCATGCTGGCTTCCTCGAACAAGAGGAGCAGGAAGTTGCTTATTTGGAGTTACCTGGAGGTGTTGAAAGGCTTTCTGCTCAAAAAATATCTTCTCTTTTTAGCTGTCCACTCAGTCATACTTCTCATAAGCAAAAGGCTCCCATCAAAATACAGACCCCAGAGCTGGAGGATGAAACACTAAATCACTCAGGCCCTGGTTAGCTCAGTAGATGAGTCAGTCACCTCATTATGAGAACAGAGTATAGAACAAGTGGTTCTGATGGCAGAAGAAAAGGGCCAGGAAAGATCCAGATCCAGGCTATGGAGAAGAGCCATCAATCAAATGGCATCTTAAGGAACAGGATAAGGGGTGTTAGGCTACAGTATTGTCTGGTCTCCCTCTGCAGAGGGAGAGAAAGCATCTCTCCTTGCTAGTTTTACATGCAATAAGACTTTACAATGGGAAGAGCATTATAGAGAATTAACATTTAGTCTAATTCTATTGTCAATCATCAATGCCTACAAGATTAACAGACATCTGGGCACAAATTCATAAAGTAGCCAGATTTGCACCTCCCCCTGTTTCTATCTGCAGCTTAATTTGTTTAAGAAAGCCATTATGAACAAACAGGGACATACACGTACTGGGGCAAAAAGGTCTCCTCACCTGCAGAATTCACACTCTAAGGACCCTAAGGAGGTGCATCCCCAAGAAAGCAAGTGGTAGAATTTTATGGAAATAAATGTGTCTATAAAGATTCTTTGGGTTTTATCCAGCTTCAAAGTAACAAGGCTCGGATCAGCGCTCGCTACCCAGATTACAATATTCTTTGCTAAGAGTAGATAATCCACTCCAGAGGAAGCTCTGGCAGTAAAAGGATAAAGAGTAATTAAGAGACATGATTGTAGAATAATTAGAATTTCAAAGGGAGAGGATAACAAGTAAAAACTCACACTTAGAACTATTGGTCCAAGTGAACATGGCTGATAAAACCTTTTGCTAGAATCTACTAAATTTTTTTTTTTTTTTTTTAGTTTGCACCACAACTTTTCTTATTCTTTCCCTTTCCATTTAATCTCCTCTTTCATCTGCTATCATATAAAATCAAATATATTTTAGTTTGTGTCTATTAAAAGAAACTAAATTTTCTCCTCTACCCCCTTTACTTAGTTCCTCCTAATTTCAACCTTTCTTGTTAATCTATTTTAATTGTGAAACTAATGCATACAGTTGTCATTAGAAGACACAGAAAGGAAGATGAAAAAACTAAAATCACCTAAAGTCAGATAAGAACGTTGGTGCGTGTCCTTAGAGATTTTACCTAGTGTGTGTGTGCAAACATGTGTGAGCACATGTTCTCTCTCCCTACTTCTCTCCCTCCCTCCCTCCAACTAAGGAACTGGCAGTTTTTGAATGTTCCCAGTGAACCAAGGCTCTGCAGAGCGGAGTCCTCTCCAACCTCCACCAACAGATGGCGATAATGGTCGATAAATTATTTTAATTTTAACACTGGTCATTTCCGATGTAAAATTCATTTAAGGCACACTTGCAGTGTTTGTGTTACATTTGGAATATTGTATGAACATTATTAAACCTGAAAAAGCACTGAGTGTGTTAAAAACAAATGTAAGAAAAAATGTATACTCATAAACATAAAAGGACACTTCCAAGTATGGGACAGGGCCAGATACTGCTCAAGCCCAGAAGGTGGTGATTTTTGTTTGTTTTAACAGAAGTGCTCCTGAAGGACAAAGAGGGACTCATGC